TGAAAACGATGCCGCAAGAAGAAGGAACGACACCGCGGATTTAAAGACGATGCCGCGAGTGGGCCAAACGATGCAGCAGTTGTTAAAACGACAGCGTTAAATTTAAAGCGGTATCGCAAAGTTCAACAGCATCGCAGAAATAGAAAACGATGTTGTTTAATTAAGAACGGTGCCGCGGAATGAGAGTTTGACAGTGTGTCAACAATGATGGCCGGATTAACTAATCAATATTTTAAGGATCAGGTAAGACGGTGTCGCTTTAGCCGAAAACGACATCGTGGGAGGTCGACACCGTCGCGGTACTGAAACGATGTTGTTTAATTAAAAACAACGTCGCAGTGACGAGAGTTCGGCAATGGTGGATTTCGGCTCAGTGTCGTTTTGGACCAAGTTGCCACGTGCTCAAGCGGTTTCGCACTCGTGGGAGTTACGCAACAAGGAGGAAGTTGCCTGCACGGTTGACAGGAGTGAAGACGTGGGAGACAAAGGCGCGAAGGCGGTTACTACAACGAGGAGAAGCGCGAAGTATAAAGATTGGGAAGAGAGAGAAGTTCGGGACGGCAAAATCAAATCACAAACTGCACCTACGCAGATTTATCTTTTTCTCTCTAGTTCGTAGAACTGCTCTGTCAAAGACCTCCTTTGCAGAGTCGTAGTCGTAGCTTGTAGTCGTAGTCGCGGAGCTCTCCAGAGGAACCTCCATAGGAGTAGAGGTAAGGTAACTCAGAATACTCTCGGTTCGGTTTCTCGTTTCTTGTGAACACCCTCGTTCGAACGTAGTTTGGAGAGGTGGTGAACCGAGTAACGGTTGTTTGACTAGAGGTCAAAGGTGCATCGATCAAATCAACGACGCCGATACCGGCGGCAGATATTTGACGATCGTCTTGGTTTCTGCTTTAATCGATCAAATCAACGGCGCTGACTTCGGCGGCGGATATTTGACGATTGTGTTGACTTTGTATTTTTGTTTCCTTGAAAACAGAGCGCATTGAACGCGTGTGTTTCGCCAACGAAACAAATTGGCACACCCGGTGGGATTCGTGTGTTCGGATGGCTCCGCGAAGGAAGAATCACGAGGGCGATCTTCCACCAACTTTAGTGGAGGAAGAGCCAATGGCCAATGTAGAGACTGACCAGAGTGGCGGTTCACACGGCGGTTCGAGTAACGACGCCGGAGGGGAAGTGACAGCAGTGGCGCAAACTGCCAACCAGGGTGAGATAACACGCATGCTTCGCCAAGTCATGGCTGATAACCAACAGGTAAAACTTCACTTAGCCTCTTTGGATGGACGTCTTGATGGTCTTAGTTCTCGGATTGATAGACGTGTTAGCCAACTGGTTGAAGTCGTAGATAAAAACAGAATGGATTTTGAAAGTAACAGACGTGATTTTAATGATTTTAGAGAGTTTTTGAATAGGCCAGTGCCGCAAACAAGGGCTTTGCTTTTAAGCGGTGAGAATCCGTTACACAACGACACTGGCACCAATAGCTTTCCGGTCAATGGCGGCCGAGATACTCAGCCGAGACAGGGCGTTTCGCCGACACCGGTGGTGAACCCAACAAGTCCGTCGAGAGTAAATCCTGGCGAGACCAGCACTGCGGCTAACACTCGTGTTGAGCCGCCACCAGTGCACAATGTGGGTCCACAAAATATTCCGGAGGCCAGACCCTACGTGGCTCCGATGAGCGGTGCTGGTGGTGGAGGAACGATCAACAATGATCATGTTCCGCCACGCGGCTACCCACAAAACGTGCCTCCTCCTCCAAACGGGCTTGGCATGGATCCGGGTGGATTCGTGCCACAAGGAGGGCAACTCGCGGGGCAAGACATTAATGTGATTCGAGATCAAGTAGCACAGATGCTGGCGGATCAGTTTGGTTTAGGGATTAGACCAGCGATGTCGGCGGTGTATCGAAAACCATATCCGGATTGGGTGGATAGATACTACCCCTTTCCACGTGGTTTTCGCGTGCCTGATTTCATCACCTTCAGCGGTACTGGGGATCAGTCCGCCGTCGAGCATGTTGGACGATTCACGGTTCAGTGTGGTGATGTGAGTGATTTCTTGAAGTTGCGTTTGTTTGGCAACTCGTTGACCGGCCCTGCATTTGCGTGGTACGTCAACTTGCCATCGAACTCGGTTCAAACTTGGCAGCAAATGGAACAAATGTTCCATGCCCAGTTCTACCATTCTAAGCCAGAAGTAACAATGGCAGACTTGGCACGAATGCGCCAACAGCCAGGAGAAACGGTGGAACATTTCTTAACTAATTTTAAAAATGCAAGAAACCGCTGTTTTGTGAACTTGACAGAACGCGAGTTTGTTAAACTTGCCCAGGGTGGATTGAATTTTGAACTTCGTAAAAAGTTTCAAGATAGGGAGTTCTCCGATCTGTTTCAATTGATGTCCTGCGCTGTTAGATATGAATCTCTTCTTCATGAAGAAGAACATAAGAGAAGTGGTTCTCGTGGACAATATTTCCCTAATTTTGAAAACTATGGTGTGAATAACGTCGGCAACGATGTTGATGAGGTTGAAGTTGATTTGGCCGAGATTGTGCAGGGGAAGCCATATGTGTGTGCTTCTCTGGCCAAGGCCGATGGGGAACCACAAGGTGGAAAGCCCAATCGTGCTCCAATTCAAACTAGGAAATATTCCTTTGATGTTTCAAAATCAGAATTGATTTTCGACCAGCTTTACAAAGATGGTCAAATTAAATTAATTGGAGGGCATACGATCCCGCTAGCTGAAAAATTAAAAGGAAAACGATACTGTAAGTGGCACGACAGTGCTTCTCATTCGACTAAGATGTGTGTTGTGTTCCGCAACGTGGTGTAGGATGCCATTGAAAAAGGGCGGTTCAAGTTATCGGAGTCGAGAAAGGAGGCCATGACTGTTGACGTTGACCCATTTCCCAACATCGTCAGCATCAATATGGTCGACGTCGTGGGGGGCAACGTTGTCGAGGCTCCTTGGTACCGCAAAGGCTTTGGTACTCAAAAGGTTAGGAGTATGGAAGGAGGATCATGCAACGGTGTAGTTTCAAACGCAGGGGTGTTGAGTAAGGCGTGCATGAATCCGTTGTCCGAGATGGTGAGACCATATTTGTTCGCATTAGATGGTCCACTGAACTCTGAAGTACAAGTCAATCATGAGTAATCCACCTCGAGAGAAGGTGGTGGAGGCCGAAATCACGGCCTTGAGAGAGAAGTTGGCCATTTATGAGTGTGAACATAGGCTTATTCGTAGGGAGCCTATTTTAATGGCCAACTATGGTCGAGATGATGAGTCGCCTATCAACGACGATGGTTCAAGTCACAAGGTGGAAGAAGGATTTAGTGCAGCTGCTTGCGACATGGTGAAAGAAATCAACCTTGGTGCGGAGGAGGATCTACGTTTAACCTTCATCAGTGCCAACTTGCTAGAACCCAACAGGTATGAGTCGAAGGAGCCCTTGAATGAATTTAAAGATTACTTTATGCGTGTTTATCATAAAATATTGCATGTGCACACCGCAGTCATGCGACTTAGACGATGTGTTATGGCCTTACATTGTCGAGCAAGTAAGGGTATGAGCTATATAGACGCTAATGGCGTTGCAACAACAAAATCACCGCCGTTGGAGTGAAGCTGGGACTTGTCGTGCAATATGATTTTTCGTTTGGCCAAAGTTGTTAGGTGTAACTGGCTAGTTACAATGTTAAAAAATTGATTATGGCCGTTCGGGCCAAAGCTGCGCTGCGGTGTAGCGATGTGGATTTTCTTTTCTGCAGCGACGTTGTTGGGGTCGCGGGGCTGTGCTAGGATAAAGTAATAGACCAACACCGTTGGTTTTAAATAAATAATAATAAAAAAATTAATTAATTAATAAAAATATATAAAATTTGGGGCCCCTGATCTGCAGCGTTGCGGGCAGAATAAACAGGGTGGCTATATAGCATTGAGGAACTGTGTTTTTGGGACAGGACTGTCTGTTGGCTCTACGCTGCCGTTTTAATTGCCCCGGATATTCACGGATATTACGGATGAGTCGGTTTGAGTTGGACGAATGGGTTAGTTTTTGGTTTGTTTTGTTTACTCCCACCTATTCGTGAGATGGAGCGTTACAGCCTGTTTGGATAGACAAAAAACTCAGGAATTGGAATTCCATTTTCAATTCCAGTTCCATATTTTATGTTTGGAAGGATAAGAAGGTTGAGAAATGAATTCCATTTGGGCTAAGTTTTGGGAATTACAATTCCTATCAAAAGTGATAGGAATTGTGTTTATGAATATGGAATTAGTGGGTCCCATCACTATTTATTATTATTTTATTAACCAACTATCACACTACTCTCTTTCTCTATCATTCATATTTCATTTCCCAAGATAAAATAAATATATTATATTATTAATTATTGTTAAAAGTGCAATTCATTTCTTTAGTTGGAGGAATTATACCAAACACTAAAATTGGAAATGGAATTCTATAAAAATAGGAATTGGAAATAGAATTTCATTTCCATTTCTTCTTGAATTGTATCCAAACAGGCTGTTAGGACTTAGCGTATGGGTTTGGTGACGGTTATTGGAAAATTGTGTTGAAGTGGCGGATGGATGTGGGGACTGAACTCTGAAAAGTATTTAATATTCTTTTTTTTTTTGACAAGAGAAAGCATTTAATATTCTTGAATTAATTAAAATTGAAAAAGAATTGGGTGAAGCGAACCATTGGAAGTTGCGACTTGCGTCTTCCCCAAAAACTATTATTATTCGTCACGGATATCACGCCACACATCATGGCCTACCAACCGGCCCTTTGACGAGTTTCTAGCCGTTCAATTCATTAATCACTAATTTTTTTTTTAACTTATTACCCTTTTTTTTTTTTACTTTGTGCGAATACAATGCTTTCTCTTTCTTAATAATGACTTTTGTTATCTGCCTCAATGACGCAAATACCCTCTCCCACTCTGCCTACATAAAATCCGAACCTCAGAAAAATTTGTACCCCCACCCTCGTCTACACATTTTTGATAGTTCTCTCCGTTCTTAACCCTAATCTTCTCTTGTGCTCATCGGTGCCCGACCGGCCCTCCCCTCCCCTCAGATTCAAATCTCCATGTGTCTCAGGTAACAAGTCTTTTTTCTTGACAAATTAAAAGACTTTTGATTTGTTGTCAATTTATTTGTTTTTCCTTTACTTATTAGGCAATCAGTTCGTGGACCGGCAAGATTCAGCAGGCAACCAGTTTGTAGATCCGATGCAGAATACAAACTCTCTTGCTGGATAACCAGTTTGTGGATCGGAAGCGATGGATCTTCTGATTTAGATCATAAACTCTCTGTCAGTAGGCTATCCATTAGAATTTGAAGATCGAGAGCGTGAGATCTTGTCGCCCTCGGCAGGCAGGTATGCAGTTCATAGATTGGCAGCGGTTGATTTAAATTGCAAACTCTCATGGTAGGCAGCGGCAGGGCTTCTGATTTGGATCGAGCTTTTAATTAGGAACAAAATTGTTATTTGGTAGGTAACCAATTCATTCGGTTAAATTCTTCAAATTACTTTGTAAAAATCTCTTTTTACTTCTACCTGTAAAACCGTTTGTAAAAATCATATATTTATTTGCAGAATTAGTATACATAAAGTGGGAAGGCAGGGTGAAAAGAATTTTAACAATTTTCTACACTAATGGTTCTTCAATCGTAGCACTAAATTAGGCCGGCCCGGTGGAAAAAGTGAAAGAGTTTCGACGCTACAAAAAGCCCAATTCATCTCCAACCTAGCCCATTTGCTTGATCGTGCCTATAAAAGGAACCACTGTTCACGATGCCACTCTTCGATCATCGATTGCGAGGTAAGTTCTGCAGATATTTTCTGTTTTCTTTTCATTTTCTCTCTGGTTTGCATTTTCTTTCTGGTAAATTCTGTGACTGATAGTCTGGAATCCTTCCCCTTCTTCTCTAGGGTTTCGTTTTCTCAGGATTTCTCTTCAGCTCAGGGTTTCTGTTCGGCTCAGGGTTTCTGTTCGGCTCTTGCAAGAAGAAGGTATCAACTCTCTTTCTGCAAGAAGGTTTCTGTTCTCTGGTTTGCAAGAAGGTTTCTGTTCGTCTCTCAGATTTCTTTATTTTCCATCTATCTGTTTTGTTTGGATTCGAATTTCGTTCCGAGAAGTTAGGCGATCTGTTAGTTGGATGATACCGTATTACAGCTTGCTTACTGTAGATTATTATGCTCGTTGTCTTTGTTTGGAAGGCATTCTTATCATGTAGATCATTATGCTCCTTGAATTTGGTATCAAGAAGGTATGCGATCTCTGAGTTGGATGAACTTCTTCTAGCTTAATTGATGTAGATTATTATGCTCCTTGTGTTTGTTAGTAAGGTATCCGAAATCTTTTTGTTACTTAAAATAGCTGGAGATCACTAGTTTGCAGATGTGTAACTACGTAGAGACTGGGTGTATGTAGGCAATTTCTGTGGGGTTGTTCAGTCTGTATTACATTGTGATCTAGCTGGGTAGAAGTTTTAGGTAGTGTGTTTGTCTAGTTGAAGGTTTTCAAACAGCAAAGTTTTGATCGTATTAGCTATGATTGTCATCTTTGGGTTACCTATTGACTGCCATCATATATATGTTTTAATTTGCCAGACCCAAAATGGCAGAGGATGACCAAGGCCCTCTCATTGATGTAGAGTATCAGAGGCTCACGAAGCTGTCCATGAACTATCATTCATTCACCATGAGCTTCAATTATCTGATTGCAAGAAAAGAAGTGTTGTTGAAGGCCCTCTCATTGATGTAGAGTAGCAGAGGCTCACGAAGCTGTCCATGAACTATCATTCATTCACCATGAGCTTCAATTATCTGATTGCAAGAAAAGAAGTGTTGTTGAAGGCCCTCTCATTGATGTAGAGTATCAGAGGCTCACGAAGCTGTCCATGAACTATCATTCATTCACCATGAGCTTCAATTATCTGATTGCAAGAAAAGAAGTGTTGTTGAAGTGCCATCAATATGATATACATCGTCTGAGGAAGATCCATGACGAGCTTAGGCAAGTCCTCTTCCTGCTCGAGTTTACCGAGTATGCTATGGTCCCGCTGGCTGCTAAGCTCGGAGTGAAACTGCTTCTTGTGGACAGGAACATTGGTATATTTTGATTGTTTGTGTTTATATTAATGGATTCACTTATTTGTATGGCAGCTGTTAATAATCTGTGAATTTTGTTTGCAGCCTCTTGCTCTAGGCTTCAGAGAAGTGCCAGTGATGGCATGCTTCTTTTGGCTGATGTCTGTGCTGAGCTTTGGAGGGAGGTTGAACTGGGTATGCAACTTTTCTATTAAATGTGGTTTAGAAATGTACTGTTCTGATTGGTTTGATCTTGGTTCGTTTGATTATTCTTTGATTATTCTGTTATGCTTTTTTTTTCATCTATCTTAGAATTGTAGTATACTATTCTGTTTGGAAGTTGATTATTCGACAATTATCATTTCTTTGGAATTGCTTGAATATGAGTTCTTGCAAATTATTCAGTGACAAGTTTATATAAATTTCAGCTAAAGAAGACCCTTCCTTAGAGGCTCGTACTCTCCGAAAGCCTCGGTGGTCTCATCGCAAACGGAGACTTGGTTTCCTTTTTGGACTGCTAAAGAGGATAGGAGTTATGTTCCGAGGGAGCCTGATCACTCGCACACCCCCTGCTTGCTCTTCACCTCCTCTGGTTCCTGCTGGTCTTCTGCGGTCATCATCTAAACCTCCAATTCCTGTCCACCCAGAGCAATCAGGCATAGTTGACATGCTTACGCTTCCTAAGCCGGTTCAACCATCGAAGTTCCATCTCATCTTTAATCTTCTTCTTTGTTTTAAACTTCTGTTCCATGAAAGACCACATTGAATCCATCGCCTCCACCATGGAACAGAAGTTTAAAACAAAGAAGAAGATTAAAGATGAGATGGAACTTCGATGGTTGAACCGGCTTAGGAAGCGTAAGCATGTCAACTATGCCTGATTGCTCTGGGTGGACATTGCAGAAGTGAGGCCAATACTGTTTGTGTTATCCATTTAGCTTTGTGGGAAGAATGTTTTGAGAGTCAAAACTCTGGAAGTTGGAACTCCCTGGGAATTCTTGTTGTTTTGAAAGGATGTTTACCTTTGAGTCAAACTCTGGAAGTTGAACTCCTGGGGTTTATTGTTGTTTTGGAAGGATTTTTTACGTTTGAGTCAAATCTCTGGAAGTTGAACTTCTTAGGAATTCTGGTTGTCTTGGTATATGAAGTTCGAGTAATTTTGGTAGAGTTGCTATAGGTACCCTGCGTACTAATTGCTCTTTACTATCTGAATTGGCAGTACTAGGAGTCAATTGTTTAGCAGGTCAAGTTCTTTGCTTGTATTCAGTGCTTGTGCTTCATGGTTTCTACAATGAGTACTGGAGGAAAAATATTCCATTTGTTGCTAAAAAACATGGTTATGCAGTTGATCTTAATTGGTAAGTTGTTAATGTAGGTGTGGGTCTGCCGATTGTTATCTTTTTCATTTAGGCATTAACTTTTTGGGATAATGACAATTGTGTTGAAATGTTTATCTACTAATTAATTCTACTGCTTTGTAGTCCGAGATTCCAATCAATGTTCAAGCGGTGCCTGTGTGGGGTTTCAAACTAGAAAAGAAAAAAAACAGTTTGTGTTATTTTAATGTATGGTTTTGCATCGTATTTTTATCTTATTTCAAATTTGATATTTTAATTGCACAAGTAAGATATCGTTTTTCAACAGTAAGATATCGTTAATAGGTTCAGCAAGATTCAACAGACAACAGGAGCAATAGAAATTGAATCATTGTAGAAGAGATCAAATTTACCTGATAGACAACTAATGTCGTATTTCTCTCACTCAATTTTTGAGCAAATATCTAGCAATTTCAAGTTAAATTGACTAAGATATAAACAAATGATGCAAAACATATCATGGAACTAGATAATAAAAAGGTATATTTTACATGTGATATGAAATTTAGAACAAACAGAGCGACGAACTACACGAACCCAGTTTGGGTCTATAGAATTGAATTTGTACCGCCAGTTATTCTGGAGCTAGTGAAATCCCCCAAATTGTTCCTCTTTCGTACAACGTATCTTGTTTCAATTTTAAGTTTTTTGCTCTCATTTGATCATTTCCTTAGGATGAAATCTCGAAGCCAAAAATACCTCTTTAGTAGCCTCTGTCAAACCAATCTACGAAATCAAGAATTATGAACACAAGACAATAAATTTCTTAATGTGGTATTGTCATTATAAAACCAGTTTACAAAGATCTATCTATGATTTTCTTGTATTAGGTTTTTGCTAAGAGTTTTAAGATTACTAATTACAAAAAATTTAGTTGAGTGTACATGTATCTTTATATGCTTCATATGTTCATGTGCAACTGGATTAATCACAATATGTATTGCACTTATGTTGTCTCCATATAGCCTCACAGGTGTCTGACACTGCACTCCCAATTCAAAATGCACTCGTTGTAGCCAAACAATTTCTGAAGCAACTCTAGACATTGATCTATATTCAGCTTCTATTGATTATTTAGAAACCTATGTTTTTCTACACCTCCAAGAGATAAATGATTGGCCAAATTGAATACACCAACTTGAATCACCCTCTATTGGAAATACAACCCTACTCTTATTACGAACTTGAATTGAATGAAAAATTGTGATTTATTTTTGTGAGATAGTTTGAATGATTTGTTTGAATTCTTTAACAATAGGAAATATGAATTTGAAATTTTATATGATTTGTGGTAAATTCACTTCTAAGTTAGTATATTATATGTGTCTTTTATATTATAGCGCGTGAGCAGTGATATTAACAACCACTAATTTTTTGGAAATATTGATTAGGATTTAGGAAGCATCAAGGTTGTCGACCCACAGGTCGACCCACTTTGACCCTGACCCGGTGAGAAAAATGGGCCGCAAGCACCCGCCAGGTCGACCGCTACAAGGTATCGGGTTAGAGGTCAAATTGTGTCATTTTTTTCTTTGGTTTGCGAAATGCGCATATTTTCCGATTTTTCTTTTCGCCTAACTCAATCTTTGGAATCCTTGATGTTATATAAATGTGTGTGAATTTTTACTATCTGTTGGATCTAAGCACGACATGTTACTTTGGTGTAATGTTATATGTTATTACTCATATGTTCGATGATTTGATCAAATTTATCAGAATAAATACAATATAATGGCTCTTTCCCTATTTCCGGATTAAAACGAGTGACCCATTAACCCTTAAAGTCTTGACCCACTAACTCGACCATGTCAGAGTCAATCCGCGAGTTGACAACATCGAAGCACACACAGGTTAATCATGCAAGACAAAGAGCTCAATAACAGCAGAACAATCCCACCACAAAAATCAACCCGGCCAAGTCCGGGGTACAGAGCTAGTAGGTCAAATAAACCATTCGGAGAGAATTTTGTTCGGCATGCTTACACGGCTCTCCGCGCCCAACCATCGCCGCCGGTGGACTTTCCTCCGTCTCCTTTCGAAAACTTCCACCACAACTTCCGTCGCCGATCACCCGCCATCACGAAGCTCAGTTCCCTTGAGCTCATTCATTCTCAGCCCATCAGACCGGCGAAGCACACCCCAAACGACCACCACCGAGCCGCCGCCAGATGCTGCTTCTCTGACTTCCCTAATTCTCAATTCGTCCGACCGGCGGACCTTGGCTCAGAAGCTCCACTCCCCTTCCATTCAATGGAGTCCGGAGCTCGTCAATACGATCATGAAGCGGCTCTGGAACCACGGCCCGAAAGCTCTGCAATTTTTCCACTTGCTCTCCCACCACCCTTCGTACTGCCACGATGCCTCTTCATTCGACCACGCCATCGACATATCGGCTCGCCTCCGCGATTTCCGAACTCTGTGGACTCTGGTCTCCCGGATGCGATCAACCAAGATAGGTCCTTCGCCGAAAACATTCGCCATTATTGCTGAGAGGTATGCTTCTGCGAAAAGACCTCATAAGGCTCTGGATATCTTCTTGTCTATGCATGAATACGGATGGTTCCCTGATTTGAACTCCTTCAATGCGCTTCTTGATGTGCTGTGCAAGTCGAATCATGTGGAAATGGCTTATAATTTGTTCAAGGCGTTGCGAGGGAAGTTCCGTGCTGATTGTGTCAGCTATAATACAATTGTGAATGGTTGGTGTCTGATTAAGAGGACGGGGAAGGCGGTGGAGGTGATGAAGGAGATGGTGGAGAGGGGGGTGAGTCCGAATTTGACTACATACAATATATTGATTAAAGGGTATTTTAGAGCTTCTCAGATTGAGGAAGGCTGGAAGTTCTTCTTGGAAATGAAAAAGAGGAAATGGGAGGTTGATGTTGTGACTTATACTACTGTGATCCATGGGCTTGGTGTTGCAGGCGAGATTAAGAGATCTCGGAATGTTTTTGATCGGATGGTCAACGAAGGAGTTCTTCCTTCTGTGGCAACTTACAATGCTTTTATTCAGGTTTTGTGTAAGAAGGACTGTTTGGAGAATGCTCTAGTGATTTTTGGAGACATGGTGAGAAAAGGTTATGAGCCAAATGTAACAACTTACACTGTGCTCATTCGAGGGTTGTGTCATGCTGGTGAATTTGAGAAGGCATTGCAGTTTATGGGGAATATGAAAGGTGATGGTTGTCAGCCGAATTTGCAGACCTACAATGTGATGATTCGGTACTTATGTGATGCTGGAGAAATCGATAAGGGGTTGGATTTGTTTGAGAAAATGGGTGGTGGGGATTGCTTGCCCAGTTTGGATACCTACAACATTCTGATAAGTGCAATGTTTGTCCGGAAAAAAGCAGATGATTTATTATTTGCTGGGAAATTGTTAATTGAGATGGTTGATAGAGGATTCGTTCCTCGGAGATTTACTTTCAATCGGATACTTAATGGGCTGTCATTAACTGGTAGTCATGAATTTGCTAGGAAGATTCTGAGATTGCAAAGTAAATGTGGGCATGTGCCCCGCAAAGTGAAATTATGAAGTCTGCATATCTAAAAGGCTGTAGCCTGTAAGAAAGGGATAAGTGAATCGAAGCAAGATCCTCTTCATTTGAAGACCTGCCCTCTTGGTAAAAGGTCAGCGGCAATACCTTGATGTATTGCATTGTTATCTGGCATCCTGAAGGACTTGTTAAGTAAATACTTAAATCTGATAAAGTATTCATGAGGATGGATGAAACTACTAAGTGGAGAGAGACTACTTTGGCATCCTAAAGTCAGTTCCCTTGTGGATCTCTTTGCTGAAAGCTGGATCCATGGAGTAAGAATCTGCTGGCAAATAGGTCGTGGTTTTTGCTAAGTTCCCCATTCGGGTATTCAAAGTATTTTCTGTGCCAAGTCACTATTATGCCCATTGAGCACCATTCCACAAGGTTGGTGTTTAATCTGTTAAATTTATTGAGAATCTTGCTGCATCTTTTTTTTCCCATGTGCTGGACTATTGAGGTGTCTGTCTTCCTAATGTGAATTCAATGCCAAATAGGCCATTCATGCTTGTTATGGAAATGTTACTATTTGATGACAATTTATTGTTTTGGAATTTTGTGGCAAGTTCTCATCAGCTTAGATCTTGGATTTCGGTAGAACAGTTATTGATGACTACCTTCTTCCATTATCAAGAAGAGCGACTCCATTCAATATCAGTAGCTTGTCTTGTCCCATGTTCTATTCTTTCTCTCTTATGAAGCTAAATGTAGAGTAAAATGCTGCGCCGAGTCCCCATTTGTGTACTGTTTGACATAGACCATTTCTTTGATTGCGATTTTTGACCTATGTCACAAACAATATCTACTGATGATACATTTTTCTTGATTCAGTGAGGAACATGGAATTTTCGAGGATATACCAGTGACCAGTCTAAGTCGTGCTAGATTTGAACGAGCTGGTGCATGAAATTTTTAAGCTACAGATGCATACAAGTGCCAGTTACTCCTCAACATAATAAATGGTAACACAAGTAAGTTATCTCCCTTCAGATGAATCCTTCAAAGTTTTATTTATTCTGGGAAATTTCTTGTGGCAAGATTTCATTTGTCACCATATCCTGTTCTGTTGTGCAGACGACCAGCTTGTAGATGCCCACCTTCACCATGCAAAGATTACTACTACAGCTGTTTATTGGTTCGTCTGTATGTCATCTTTCCTTGTAGTTTCTGCAAACTCCCTATCCTTTTTCTGCTGTGTGCTCTACCCAAATTACAGAGTAACTTGTTTTTATCTTGTGTAGGTAACTCACCATCTCCCAAGTCTTGCGAGCATTATGCCTGTGCTGAGGATGTCAACAAGCAGCCACTGCTTGAATACAACGAACAGTGAGCAGTGGTTCCATCACAATGGCTGAATTGCCTGTACCCCTCTTCCACCTCCGTGTGCTTCATCCCATCCTGTCAATTCAACTTCAATGTACTTCGATGCCCTGTCCTCCCCGTCAATTCCCCTCGCCACAACCTCAACAATTTGCTCCACATGTTCCCTCGTTGGCTTGTTAAACAGCAAGACCTCATTGATTCGTTGTGATATCTCGGCCCGAAGATGCCATTCAGAAATATGCGAAATCCTGTGCTTCCAGTTCCTGCCGCGAAACATTGGAGTAAATTCCTGCCGCGAAACATTTCAAGGAAGGATATGGCCGACGTTGTGGTGGGAATATTCGTGAGACGGCGTGGTGGCATTGGAGGTCATGATGACGATTGCTTGTCGAAAACTGACTTCCTGCCCGTCCACGCCGGCGGCGAGATTCCCGCCGTCGACGATTTGCAGAATCGCGTCGGCGATGTCGGGTAGGGCTTTCTCGACGTGACGGAGCAGGACGACGGAGGCTGGCCTGCGGCGGATTGTTTCGGTCAGTCGGGAGGTGAAGAGTTCTCGTGGGTAATCGGCCGCCCGGTCGATTCTAATCAGCCAATCTGCCGACCCGAGGAACTCGATTGCTAATGCTCTGGCTAGCAGTGATTTCCCAACTCCGGTTGGGCCGTGAAAGAAGAAGCTGGCGAATGGCTTGTTTGGGTCTTCGAGAGCTGTACTGGCGCGGCGGAGTGCAAGGGTGAGTGCCTTGACAGCTTCGTGTTGCGGCCAAAGACATGGGCTTTTAGCCTCTGATCCAAGTCCAGAAGATTATCTTTCTCAAGCTTCACCTTCAACATGATCTTCTCTGGGTACTGGTTTGTTCTGTCTGGGATTTAAGTGATGATTTTGGGTTGGATTCCCTTCTCTTTGTGTCGTTCTTTATAAAGTGTAGCAGAAGAGAGGAGAGGAGAGGAGAGATTGCCCGATTTTCAATTTCCAAACGGTTGGAGGGAGTTCCCGGAGGCGGCCATCATCAGAAACAGCTCCAGCATCAAAAGGAGCAAACCATATTGATTGGCCTGGCTTGGCTATGCATCCACAGCTTCAGCTAGCTACTGGCTAGCTTATCATCAGGAATCAGGATAGCTGGTTAGTTTATCTTGTCATTTTCTGCTGCTGTGCTCTGCTTTCGCAGCAAGCTGCATGCGGGACTTTTGATTAATCAAAGTGGGAGGAGTAGGGGTGTTCGTTTATCCCGTAATATTTTCAGCTTCCGGGTTAAAATAAAATGCACGTTATACCACTAAATTTGAGAATTGGGGAAGAGAAAAACTTTAGGGAGAAACGAATTGAAGGGGTGATTAATCTTTTGTGTTTGTGTTCTTGAGAAGAAAAACAGGAAGAAGATGAACGTTAAAAGTCCACTAACCACTTTATCTAATAAACTAAAGTGGAAAGCAAACTTAAAATTCACTCACACTTTCCTTCTTCCACCAATGTGGTATTTCTTTTAACTCTTTTGACTACTCTAATACATGCGTTGGCCGTTGAGTGCAAATTAATGAAATATTCCTTATCTTCTAAGTTGTGTGAAATCTCTTAGTCTAGTGGTTGCTGCAATGGTCATGTCTCCCAACCACACTTATGGGTCCTTAACTAGCTAGGTATCTAGAGCATTAGATTTAGGGGTCGTTTGGAAGTTGTGATTGTTGAATACATGTATTATGCACAATACAATGTTTGGAAGTGTCAAAGTATAAAACAATGCATGCATTGTTTTAAATAGGTCCCACTAACAATCACAAAAAATGATGCATTATACAATCTCAACTAAAAGTTGAGATTGTTGTGATTGTTGGTTTTAGATTTGTGTCAACTTTTTCTTTTCATTTATATCCTTAATAGTTTTTGTCTTATTCTAAAAGTTGAGGGTAAATGTGACATTTCCCCATAAAATAATTTTATGTAAATCAATGCATAAAATAGAATCTCAACAACCAAACAATGTATTGTTAAAATATATCTATTGTATCAATACATGCATTAATATTATGGTGATTCATTACAATACAACGATTTAACATTCGCAATTTACCCCTTAGACTCTCAATTGGGATTCATTCCTATGAAAGTGAAACTTCGACTCAATAGTCTCATAACCCAATTCTCACACTACTTTATGTATGTTATAATATTGGCCTACGGGGATGGTCACCTCGACTGAAGTCAATAACAAAGCAATGGTCACTTTTACTGAATCAATAATTTGACATTGATTCAACATCAAATGGAACAAATATATAGGTTTGCAATCACTCTTATATACAAACCATAAACAATTTACAAGCTATGAGAAAGGTTATACAGATGAGGAGAAGAGCAATAATCTATATCTAGATACTTCTTCTCCTTCTTGCTTTAACCACCCTTCTTGAATTTTGGGAAGTTTTGACCACCCTTCTCTTTGTCAAAAGGAGATAATATCCGGACTAGAACAAGCCATAAGTTAATAACCTATTATTCACCTCATCAAAGGAGTAGTTTAACTCTTGCAATTGCATATCAATAATAAAAGTAAAGTAATTCAACCTGATAACAATGTAAGATTAGTCGATATAAGAATTGTGGGAAGTTGGGGATTTAGTTTTTTTGGGGTTTTAATGAACAAAGTTGTGGAAATTAGGGTTCAATGAACTTTATTTTATATTATTATTACAATATGTTTTAAACGTAACAACAATTGGTATGTTGTGTAATGAATGATATTTTATTTAAGGGCTAATATATTTATATGACCCGAACTTTTCACATATTAAACATTCTGACCATTTTTTTCGATCTATAACTTTACGGCCTCGTCTATGCATCAAAGTTACGAAATTGTCCAAACCCGAGATATGACTGTTATCTTGGATGGTCAAACAAGTTGACTAACAGTTAACACGCCACGTCACTGCCAAGCCAGCACAGACAACTAGAAAATTTTGTTTTTCCACATATTATCATTTATCTTTTTCTATTTTGAATAAAAGAAGAAAAAAAAGGAAAAGAAATTAAAAAAAAACAATTTTTATAAGTGGTTTGTGCTGACTTGGCAGTGACGTGGCGCGTTGACCGTCCAAGATAACAGTCAAATCTAAGGTTTGGCCAATATCATAACTTTAATGCATAGTTGAGGCCACGAAGTTATAGATCAAAAATATTGGCCAGGATATTTAATATGTGAAAAGTTCGGACCATACAAATATATCAATCATTTATTTAATAATTATAGTGTCATGGATTTGAATTACAAAATTTATTATTTTTTCCCTTCGAATTCAAATTATTATTAGGAGATCACCAAATTTAGAAGTGTCACATGAAATCAATAACGAATTATGAATCCGTCCCTGCCCCAAACTCAAACTAGTACCGATAAATTATTTATTCCCCCCCCAAATTTTAGAGGTATCTCTGGCCTGTGTCCTCTCCTGGCCAGAACTATGTTGGATTCAAGTATAAACGTTTGAATGTTAATGTTACATGTTAAAATATGATTTTTCATTTTTTAAAATGTTGTATTTTTATATAAATAGAAAATTGTCTTCAAATATGTTAGTATTTTTAAATGTTGTATTTTCCTACTTCCATATATATTTTGCTAAAATCAAATTGAACTACTTGTAATACTAATCGTATTATATCACTTGCAATTTGCAAAACCAGCTTAGACCGGTATGACAAACTTGAAAAAGAGTAACTAGATTAGGACCCGCCCGTTGGCCGGATGAATTTCATTAATAGTATAAATAATCATAGAATTTTATAAAGCAAGACATGTTTTATTTCATACCTTAAAAATTTTAAATAATTTATTTACTGAAAATATCTTACTCATTAAAATTTTAACATAACAACCCGATTTATTGACTAAAGTCCTTACTAAATGTATAGAACAATGTGATGGAAGGAAATTGACTTCTAAAGTTTTAGTTAGACCACACATTTGCTCCTCACCATAAGAGTTATTGCAAATTTCATTTTAGATTTTCTGTGATTGATCTTTCTCTACCCCATTAAGCATCACCTTCTCCACCAAATAAAATATGTTTGTCTTCCTAGTTCTTTAATGAAAAACTTTATCTTCACAATAGGTTGTTTCTTCTTTATTTAATTTTTTTCTTCTTTATTTCAATGGAAGCATCTTTAATAGTAACATGTTTGGAAACACTAAACATTTCACGCAGTAGAGTGTACATCTCATGAACATTCTATGAGATTTCTTTGTTCACCTAATGCTGATAAATAATCGAACGACCAACACACAAAATCAAATCTATATATTGAAAACTAACTAAATAAATAATAAATAGTAAGAGCTGACTATTCTCCAATAGATACATTTTTTTTCTTTTACCTTTGCAGGTTTTATTTCCAATAAGCAAAAATGATTGAGGAAATTTTAGTGGTCGACAATGAGAATAATTAAATATGCTATGAATTCAATTTTTTCTACGTGGTGTTTTTATTTTTAATTTGTAAATCATGAATTAAGTGGGGAGTATATGATCATTCTAAGTTAGTTTTAGAGATTGGGAGCTTAGTCAAAGTCCAGTCAGCAAGTTGAGACCCGCTTCTGTGACAGTCTAACAAAAAGTTGATGGTAGAAATTTGATTAATTTTTTTTGTATAGATCGAGTATCATTGTAGAATAATTGATAGTTCATGAATATTATATATGATTTTAACTTCCAAAATATGTCAAACTGGGTATCATTTTATATAGTATAATTAAATTAAATTTTTAGTTAAAATGTTATAATTTAAACTAGAACAAATGAAATATGATTAAGTAAAGACTAATAAGGGAGTGGGTACGAACGTTGAATTATACAGCTAACATGTTAATAAACTAACCATAATATAAATTACCTATATGGATACAACAAATATAGCGGCTAATAGTAATTTTAATGTATGTACGCTAAACTTACCTTACGTCTCTGTAGTTTGCTATTTAAACCAAGAATTAATTGGATTTTGGTGCATGATATTATACCCTAATTTTTAATGGGTAAACCCCATCCACTATTTCTAACTCAAACCATAAGATCCAATTGATATAAAAATAATAATTGATGGTTCTAAATCACCGAAATATATTGAAGTGCATCTAATAAGTGTGAAGGCAGGCATATATCATTTTTTAGATGAACGCTTGTGTCTATACATTTCCAAACAAATTTTGTTATATTATAATCTAAACTTTTACCTTTAATGTTATGGTACATGTTTAGTTTGTACCTATATATTTTAATACAAATTCATTTATAATACAAAATGAATGTATACCTTTACGTTATGGTACAGTTTGTACTTATACATTTTCATACAAATTATTTTATAATATAAACTGAACTTATATAACGTTATGTTACCAAGTTGTATATGCAAACACCAACATTTTGAAGTATAGCAAATGATCTCATATATATAACATATACTTTTTTTATAATATACGACATAGCATATCAATAAAAAAGGGTGGTCTTTTTTTTTTTTTGGTGTAAGGGGTGGTATTTTATATTTGGAGTCTCTATTTTTTTAATTAATAAGTTGATTATTTTAAGCAAACCAAATGACCAAAGAGTCCCCCATAGCTATGCGCAGAAGCTAGTAAAAAATCAAATGGGTGGGTGCTAGGAACCTCTATATATTGTTTGGATTGGATTGGATGAGGAGGATATTTGTGGGAAGCAAGGTTGTCAACCCGCGGGTCGACCTGTGGGTTGACCCACTTTGTGTTAGAAACAAAGTTTCTAACGGGTTTGGAATTAGGAAATTAGCTAGATCAATTAGGGATTGACCTAGCTAGGGATTGGGAATTGGAGAATTGAGATAAAAAGAGGGGAAAAGAGGGCAGCTGCTACTGCCGAATTTGGGAGAGGGAGAGGGGAAGGGGATGCAGGAAGAGAGAAGAAGAGACTAGAGAGAGGGTAGATTTTAAGTTTTTGATATTTTATTGCTTAATGGAAAAATAACTCTCTACTGCAGATTATATAATCCGCCTAATTCCCACCTCCTACCCAACTAATAAAACGTAACAATTGACTCCCTGCTTATTGTCCGAATACCCCAAATAATCCCCAATTAACAAAACCGACAACAATGCAAATTAACCAAAAGCTGCAAATAATTTGTTTCTAACACTTTGACCCTGACCTGGTGAGAAAAACGGGCCGCACGCACCCGTCGGGTCGACTGCTATAAGGTACCGGGTTGGAGGTCAAATTGTGCCATATTTTTCTTTGTTTTGCGAAATGCGCCTATTTTCCGATTTTTCTTTTAGCCTAACTCAATCTTTGGAATCCTAAGTTGAACATTTGAATATTAATGTTATATAAGTGTGTGTGAATTTTCACTATATGTTGAATCTAAGTACGGAATGTTATTTTGGTGTAATATTATATGTTATAACTCATATGTTAGATGAGATTTGATATAATTTATCAGAATAAGTACAATATAACGACGCTTTCCATATTTCCGAGCTAAACCGGGCTAAAACGGGTGACCCATTAACCCTTGATCCACTAGCTCAACCGGGTTCGGGTCAACCCGTGGGTTGACAACCTTGGTGGGAAGGGAAGCAAAACGCAAGCGCGTCAAAATTCAAAACCCCGCTAAGTTATAGACCTCCATCTCCCCAAAAATTCAAAAACCCTCCCTCCATCCGCCAACCGTTGGCTCCAAAAAAAACTCCCCGCCCCGCTCTCGCTGTGTTAGTTCCGCCTTTTTTTGGGGACTTTCCCTCTTATTTCAAAATCCCCAGCCGCGCCACTTCCCATCTCCTCCTTCCTCTCTTCCAATTTTTCTATTAACGGCCCTCCATCCCCAGCTCCGCTCCACACCTCTCTCTCCCCGCTCCAAATCTCCCGCCCGCCGGAATTCCGCCTTCCCAAATCGGAGGCCGGAATGAACTCTTCGCTCACCCATGTGCCACCGGAATCCTCTCTCCGCCATCATAGTTACAGCCGGAAGCAGAAGTCTCTCGGCCTCTTATGCACCAAGTAAGCACTCCTTCTCTTCTCTCTCCGATCTCTTACACTGCTTTTCTTTCTTTTTCCATCGATTCTGAATCTCGCCGGGGTTTTTTTTTTCCAGCTTCTTGAACTTGTATAACCGAGATGGAATCGAAGTTATTGGCCTTGACGATGCGGCCACCAGATTAGGTTAAACTTTAACCCCTTGTTTTCCCCATCGCCTTTCTTTCTTCGGTCTCTCTCTCTCTCAACTCTTTGTAAAAGCTCAGTTTTCTTACCGGTGGATTTTGCAGGGGTTGAGCGCCGTCGGATCTACGACATTGTTAATGTCCTTGAAAGTGTTGGGGTGAGATTCACTTTTCACTTCCCTCCTTTTTTTCAGTTATCTTTCCTTCAAAAACCCAGCTGACTTTGGATTTCCTAGGGCTATTCACTATCTGGGCTGCTTTTAATGAATTCTTTTGATTATAGGTTTTGTGTAGAAGAGCTAAGAATCAGTACACCTGGAAAGGGTTCGCTGCAATGCCAGAGACTCTCCGGGAGTTAAAGGTAAAACTACAATTCCCGCATCGAATTCTATGTTTGTGGGCATAGTACAGACTATTGATACTGGGTTTTTGTGCCTTGATGATACCATAGGATCAGGGTATGAAGGAGAACTTCTGTTCATCTGATAACAAGAGTAACGGCAATGGAGCTAAAGTAAGTTGATATCTGAATTAGCTTTACTCAGAACATCAACCTTACTTTGTGTTCTATATTACTTTGCTTGTTCTTACTCTTACTCCCGTTACTAATTGTTTGGAAAGGGGCTGGATGATGAAAATGACGTTGATGACCGTGAGCTAGAGGCCAATACAGGAAGCCAGAATGACGACGAAGATGACCGCGATCTAGAGCTCAATACTGGTAGCCAGAATGATTCTGCAGCTCCTAGTGGTACTTGCCAGTCTGCTGCTGCATTGAGATTAGGTGAGTTCTCTGCATTCGGAATGGGTAGGAGTTTATTTGCTCATGGGGGGAGTTACTCAACCTGCTCATTTTGTTTCTGGTGTTGTAGATAACAGGAAGGAGAAATCTCTGGGGCTTCTGACCCAGAATTTTGTCAAGCTTTTTCTTTGTTCTGATGTGAGTTGGAGTGCTTGTCCTTTATGCTTGTGATATTGTTTGTTTCAACTGAACCACTTGGGCTGGTGCTGACATTGAACTGATTGTTTCAGTCGCAGTTAATATCTCTTGATGATTCTGCAAAGCTACTGCTTGGAGACGGCCATAGTGTGTCGATATTGCGAAGTGAGTTCCAAGTTCTAGCTCCATTCTTGCATTTACCCTCTCACATCTCAGCTTGTTATCTGTTTCTTTATTATAAACAAACTCCATCTCTTCTGTGAATCTGCAGCCAAAGTCAGACGGCTATATGATATTGCAAATGTACTTTCTTCCATGAAGCTTATCGAGAAGGTAATGCTCCACAACAAGATAGTTTTCAGCACAGTTGCTAGTTTGAACATTGAGCAGTTGGATTTCTTGTCAAGTTGTAAACTTGATGTTGGTTTTGGATGCAGACTCATACTGCAGATTCCAGGAAGCCTGCATTTAGGTGGGTAGGGTTAAACGGAAACCACAACAGCAACATTACAAGCACTGCTGCACCTCTTCCTAATTGTGAACCAAGGAAAAGGGTTTTTGGTGCAGATGTTACAAATATTAGTTTCAAGAGGAACAAGCTTGATTCTCTAGTTTGCAATAAAACCCAGAACATGAAGATGCATGATAATACAAGTCAAATCAAGGTTGAGAATGAAATGACTGGATGTGAGGGAGGCAGCCTGAGCCAGGATTCATTTCAGGGGTCAAGGAGTTACCAATTTGGTCCCTTTGCACCAGCTGCTGCGGTCAAAGATAGTGGTTCTCCAAGGGTAGTTCCTCAGGTTCGTGATTGGGACGCTCTGACCTCCACTTTCCGCCCTCAATATCATAATCAAGGTAAAAAATCCTACCCTCACTAGCTTAAACCAGACTAAACTTGGATAGCAAGTTTGATTCTTCCGTAGTTTTTTTTTTAAAAGAGATTCTTCCGTAGTCTTAATATTGAACAATTGCTGCAGCTCTGAAAGACCTGTTTGTTCACTACATGGAGGCATGGCAATCATGGTACACAGAAGTTTCAGAGAAGAAACCAATCCAGCAAATCTCCTGATGGACTTTTCATTCGCTGGCTCTCCTTTGTCAAAGCTCTCAGCTGAAATGGAAGAGATGGTCTCTCTCGTGGGTTGCACTTCCTTTGTGCACCATAAAAATTTGTATGGCCATCCTCTGGATTGATTTGTCATTGACCATTCATTGTAGTGACATTCAACGCAACCAACTGTCCGCATAGTTTTTCATAGTGTGTGACTTGATAGATCTAGCTAGCACAGGAGGAACCCCCTACGGAGTATGAATAAACTGAGTACAAAGCAAATGATTTTACACCTTGTTCTTTATCAGGAGGTTTCATTATGAGCAAAGGTCTATCTGGTTGTTTCTTAATGTGGAACAAATTAGATGAGGGAATATCAATGTAAAGCTGATAAGGTGAGATCAAAGGATGTAATTGCATAACCTCTCTTTTTATGTTTCAGATTACTGGACCTTTTAGGCTGTAGAGGATCGTGCATACTTCATAACACTCCTCTTGGTCTGCTAGGAACTACTTCTTTTCTGTTCCTCATGGTAGCTTCTTAGCAGCTTTGGTGGCAAAGGATTTTTCTTAGTTATTTGGGTGGCTATCTATTTTATTTCTTTCGTATAGTATCACGGCGGTGAAGGACTGTTCCTAGTTGTTTCGGCGGCAAGTATCTTGGTGGCGGGATCGTTGTTAGCTGCTTTCTTGGCTGTTTTTTTCTTTTGTTTGCCTAGTGTCCTGACGGTAAAGGATTATGTTCTTAGTTGCCTTGGTGGCTGTCTGGGTGGTAAGGACTCCAAATTCCGGAGTCCAAGAGTTTTATAAAGCGTTCTTGACGGAGAATGTGTCAGGTGGTCATGTGTCCATCTGTTAGACTATCACCTTTCTTTTGTTGCATAGTATTATGGGCCATGGCTGCAAATGATCATTTTTAGCTGCTGGGTTGGTCATTGGTCACGTCTCAGAGTCTATGTGTCTTCTTTGTTCTAATGACGATGGACATCTATTGCGTTTAAGGTTAAGCCCTTAGATTGCTAGGGTGCTTGATAGAGAGACAGAGAATGGGGCAAAATGGAATTTAGTCTCTCTTTAGTTTCTTCTGGTAACTCATAACAATTACGAATTTTACAGATGAGGCTGTGACTGAGGTTTTGTTCAAAACTTTCTCGACAACAAGAGGATAAACAGTTGTTTATAGAGTACAGAATACAGGAGCAATGGCATCCCTCCCTATAAGATGATCTCTTCCTGAACACTAACATTGAGAGTCTTGTGTGGCAGTACAATGCTGTTCACCACCACCACTTCATCTTCCACTGTTACAGCTTCACCTGCATATTGGAGAAACAGTGACGAAGAAGAAGTGATATCAGCAGAAGTCTAACCGATGACTGACAATGCAGTAGAATTTGCAGAGTGGTAAAGAAGGGGGAGGAGACTAGGGCAGAGGGACCAGGGTATGAAAGAAAGTACCGAGAATCGTGATACCAAGTTTTGCATTGTAAGCACCTTCAGCCTGGACTCGAGACCATTTGCCAATGGAGGACTTCCACCCAACAATGGAGTTGATGACAACTCCGTTTTCCTGATCAAAAGAAAGAGAGTTATACACAATCATGTCATCCAAATGCTATGTAGCTGTCTCATAAGGATGTAAAGTCAGTTAGTACTTAGTAGTGTTAGCCTGTTTACCATGACTTCAACATCGTCGAGGATAATGCAACTGATAAGCCTTGCACCTGGTCCTATACGAGCATTGGCTGATATCGACACATTCGGACCAATCTGTTTCACCACAGTTCCGTTAACAAGGGAAAGTGGATAGTTGGAAAGGAAAACCGTCTCAGCAATATCTCTATCATCATTTGGATAAGCAAACTGAAACGATATGCTTAACACAAACTTGCTCTTTTTCTTTTAACTGTTTTTGCCATTTAGTCGTTCAAGAGAAGGCACAAGCACACAGTTTAAGATCTACCGAACTACACACAGTGGGTTTGAGTCTGAGTGATCACTGATCAATAAATTGTGCACCAGAACTAAGCGAGCGAGAAAAATCACCTTAGCGGTTGGATGAACTTTGGCCGACGGATGAATGTAAACATCACCAACAATAGTGGCACCCTTTGAACCATCACCACTAGCCAATAGATGTGGAGAAGTGAACCGAAATTGAGCAAGATACAAAGCAGAGCATTTCAAAGACATTCTGCATGCATATATCTGGAGAAGTCAAAATTTAAAGCAATGGGGAAAGGGTAGCAACAGTGACAAATATGCAGATAGTTCTGGCTAGTTACCCTGGAGTTTTTATTTGTTCCCAAAAGTCTCTGGTTTCATAGGTGTATAATTGCTTTTTCCCTGCAAGGGGTGACAGAATGTCTTGATCCAACCTCACAAAATGTGAAGGGAAACTCCTGCACAACACAAACATATCACGAAAATTCGCTTAAGAAGGCCAAAAAAGGAAATTAAAAGAAACAATGGGTTCAAAGTGCACTGTGTTCGATCATTTTATCTTCATACTATGTCATCCCATCTATGGTGAACTAGCAGCAAGCCCAGGAAAAATGAATCTTCGTCTCAACAACACAACCAACAGGTACAGAAGAACAAACCTGGTAGCTGACTGAAGAGCTTCGAAGCTTGACATACGTCTAAGATTAGCTGCACATGAAAGTTATGGCTGAATTACTCTAAACTTTAGGATTAGTTTGACACAAAATTGTAACAAAAACTATTTCCAGTTGTAGCAATTGCTTCAAACACCCAGATGTACCGATTAGCTTAAACTTTCAGACTGTTGTAAATTTTCAGACCTAAATTGATTTCTCAAGTCCAGACTCTGGCTTGTTACACAATTCTAAACCAAATGCACCCTTGCAGAGTTGCAGGTGAGAAATTCATACATTTAATAGCATCTAGACCACTGCAATTAAATTGTAGAGGAATTGGAAACAACTTTAGGATATAGTTTGACACAGAAATTGTAAGAAAACCTATTTCCAGTGGCAGCAATTGATTCACACTCCCAGATGTACCCATTTGCTTCAACTCTAAGACAGTTTTCAATTTTCAGGCCTAAATTGAGTTCTTAAGTCCGGGATCTGCTTGTTACACACTTCTACACCAAATGCACCATTTCAGATGTGAAATCATGCATTTAATAGCATCTAGACCACTGCAATTCATTTGCAGAGGAATTGGATACAAGAATAGGCATGGTCGAAATCTGCCAACTTAATCACAATTCATGAATAAACATAACTTTACTGGAAAGAGTGATTTACTGACCCCTATCTTTCAGTTGGGAAGAAACTCCTTGGATGGCGGTAAATATTTCCGGAGTAAACACATAGACACCACAGTTTATCAAGTCACTCACCTGCATTATAGATTATCATTTTTGACAATGCATACATTAGAAGCAAAGGAAAAGCTAAAGAAGTACAAGAAGCAGCATCTCAAAAGTTCTTTCATGTTCTGACTTCTGATAAACATTAAATAAAGGCAAGTTACATACAAAAGTCTCAGGTTTCTCTGTGTAATGCAGCAGTTCTTTGGTGACTGGATCAGCTACCAATTCTCCAAACTGACTGGCTGACTCAACCGAAACCTGTTGGAGATAAAGAAAAGAATGAAGCATAACCATGCAGTTAAAGTTAAATACTGAAACATAACATGTTTTTGGCCAAAAAGCTTTCCAGTATTTTCTCAATCTACCTTAATTACGAGAAGAGTACCGATCCCACCATATCTTTTATGTGCCTCTGCAAACATTGAAAGAGAAGAACCAAAGAAGAAACATAAGCAGCACATTAAGTTGATTCCAGAAGTTAAAACTAAGAGTGCAATAATAAACAACTGACAATTACCAAGCATTTCAGGGAGAGGAAAACTGCAGCATACATCACAATTCAGCAAAAATATATGGGCCTGTAGAAAGAACCAAAGCATATATCAGTATCAGAAAGACGGTAACTTTTTCTTCACAAGCTCCCAAGGACATTAGGTTACAGTGAAATACCGGATTATCCTCCATGATCAGATCTCTGAAGTTATAAAGCCCACCAGCTGAACCATGAGGTTTGTCCTCTCTCAGATATCTATACCAAATCCAAGATTCCCATGATTGCAAACAAATGAGCAAACATAGAGGCAAAGAAGCTGATAACCATATATGAATGGAACTGGTTTACCTGACAGGCACTCTAAGTTCATTAGAGATGGCAGAAACATACAATGCGAATTCACGCTCTTCATAAAAACCGACGAGATAGATCTGAGCCAAGTTTGGAATCTGAACCAGACGACAAGCACATTAATCCAAAATGCTAAGGCATTTCAAAATCAGGTTGTCCTTCACAATTCAATCACAATGCTTCAAATGCAAGTAAAATATACCCTTTTACAAGCAGAAATTGGATGGTGAACCATTGGTTGTCCTGCTAAGGGGAAAAGAGGCTTAGGGATATTCAATGACAATGGCCTGAATCGTGTTCCTGTAGTATTTCACAATTCAGATTGGCTGAGTAAGAATCGCCATAACCAACCATTTCAAATACCAACAAACCAAGCGCCATATAAACAAAAGAACGCGCAAAGAGGGTAAAATGGCATCCGCAGATTTAAGCAATTCGATATGCAAAACCAAAAAGGAGAATCCTTTATCAATATTCTTGGACAGAAGATTCACAGGCAGAGAGCAGCATACCTTTCGTGGGTCCACCCACCATGATTACAGCCACAACTCTCTCATCGGAACCACCCATTGTTTATGCTCTGCGAATCACCAGAACCCAGATCCCCAATTCTCCTTAAAAACAACAACTCTTGAATCTCTACGGTCACAAGAGAATTCAAATCTCCAAAAGCTGAAACCTTTGTTCTCAAAGTAAACCAAAGCTTTCTCCCCCTTGATCTATGAGGTGTTCCAGCAGGAATATCCGAATCCAATCCGGTTTTGTTCAGCTACAAGATAAGCACTTTCACCTTGTACCGGCAGTGGTCCTAAATAGGTGTACTTATGGCAAGCAGCAGACTGCAATTATTCTTTTTCTATTTGAGCTTTCTTTTTTTTAAGCCCAGAGAAATAGAGTGTGGAAATCCAGTTGAAGATCTAAGAGTGTGAAGGAAGGGGCAAAAAGGAAAAGTGGGAAGAAAGCAAACTGTAGTGAGGGGCGAGGAATTGAAGGAGGATGACAAGGAGAAGCACACTAGTTTTGCGAATTGTGCGCTTACAGAGGACAGAGACTCAAAGAGAGTGAAGCAGAGTATTGGGTGGTGGGCTTCTTGTGAGTACAGAGACCCTGCAACTGCCGAAGCTTCCATCCATGGTATCTTTTGTTTTTGCGCGCTCTCTTTCGCGTCTTTTCCCCTGTTCTTTCACAATCTCCCGGTAATTTTCTCCAATAGGCTACGTACGGCTATAGGATAATTGGGATTTTGTTTTCTTTGTGTTGGTGAGGAATTCTCTTATGATTAACAGAGTAATTAACGTATTGTTTGGATTTTCTTAGGTGGTTTAGTAGTGATTTTGAGCATGCACTGTCTGGCTATGGTTCTAACAGGGATTTTTGTTAAAACTTTCTAATTTGATTGTTGTTGAATCATTTATTTCGTTATTCACAATTATATATTGCGTGCATTCAACCGTTATAAATAACAAGTTAAGCGATCGAACATTATAGAACAACATTAGGATATCTAGCTAATGTCCGATATAAACATAGCTTGATTTAAGGGCTAAATTACACGTTTGGTCACTCAAATTATACAAATCTTTCATGTTTGTCACTCGAATTATTTTTCTTTCTTATTCGCCACTAACTTTACGAGTCGTTTCACCGTTAGTCACCCGCCGTTACACTCCGTTAAGTTTGTCCTACGTGGCAGTCAACTATAAAGTTTGACCGTTAACTAGATGACGTGGAAATTAAAATGAATTAAAAAAAATTATTTTTCCACATCATTCCACTTGCTTTGTCTATATGCTTTATCATATTTATTATTTAATTAAAACTAATTATTAGCGAGAGAATTCCTCCTCCTTGAGACCTTGACAACCCAGGTGAAGCTTTGCTCCGACGCCTCCAGAGCACCAGCTATCTCCTTCCTCCTCCTCTCCCTTCTCTTCCCTTCTTTGTTTAGTGTATAAGCTTCGGGAAAAAAAAACATGGGCATGGGCTCGAATTCCAAGAGATCAAGCGGGCTAGTGCTCCGGTCGCTGTCTCCCCGCGGTCGATCCAGTCGTACAACTCTGCCGGTCATCTCTCATCTTCCTCGTCCTCATCGGCGTTCGTGTCTTCCACGAGCTCGAGCTTTTACTCTCCGCCGTCGGCCTTCTTCCGCACCACGCTCCACCACCCAGATCCGCCTCTCCGACGCGCGTCAATCTATATTCCCAGAGTCCTTCGTCGTCGCCGACGTTCCAATTCTCGATCGACAGATCCACATCTCCCAATCGCAACATATCCGTCGCGACGAAGCACACCAATCACATCTCCAGCCTCCCCGCGAGGAAGACGTGTATGTGCTCTCCGACCTCGCATCCTGGATCGTTCCGCTGCAGTCTCCACAAGAACAATCACCAGAACGGCCACGCCGGAGAGAGCTCGTTCATGCCGAACAGGCTGAACATGAGGAGATCCGCGATGGCGAATTCGCTGGTGAGGATCGGTTGCGTGGAAGGAGACTGGGTGAAGAGAGCGTTGCCGGCTTTGATTCGACCGTCGTCGCGCGAAGGGTTCAGAATCGGATTCCACGCCTTTGTAAGGCTCGTGGAGTTTGAGGGCATTAATACACGGAGAACGACCCTAATCTGTTGAAGAAGAGCCTCGGAAGCAGAGTTTGTCGACTTTGTTTGTAGCCCAGGAGAAGATCATCGGCAATGATGCAATCTGGCTGCCACTACCAGAGGAGATCCTCGACGGGTTGCTGGAAGGCGACCATGAAATTGAAGAACAGTATAATGAGGTCCGGGTACTGGATGGCGTTGACGCAACCTTCCGTCGGCACATGGAATTCGATGATGTGGGTTTGAATTTAAAGACCCAATTGAGCATCTTGGTGAATCTTGTTGGAGAAGAGAGGGGCGGGCATACGGGAGTGGTGATGATCGTCGATTTGACACCGTGGCGGGCGAACAACCTCTCCATGAATGCCCTTTGGATCCTAATTCCTATGGCCTTGAGCCATGAAACTATGAAAGGGAGGAAGACAAAGTGGAGGAAGAGGCTGATAATTAATTTTTATTAAATAATTAAAAAGATAAAACAAAGTAAGTGGAATAAATTTATTTTATTTTCCATGTCATCTAGTTAATGGTCAAACTTTATAGTTGACTGCCACGTAGGACAAATTTAACGGAGTGTAACAGCGGGTGGACTAACGGTGAAACGATTCGTAAAGTTAGTGGCGAATAAGAAAGAAAAGTAATTCGGGTGGCAAACATGAAATATTTGTATAATTTGAGTGACCAAACGTGTAATTTAGCCTTGATTTAAGTGTGCACGAATGTCATGTTCTTCTATGTTTTTTTTTTTGGATTAATGATTCTATGTTTTGGACTATTTATACTTGCCTGTTGTTTTTTCTTCTTCTAGTTCTATACTTCTTATGATGGTTCTCTTGGTGACAAGTTCTACATTAGAAAACATCTTGTATAGTTCAATCAAGTACCACCATGTGTTAGAGCTCACTGTGCACACGAAAACTAGGAATGACAATGAGTCATGTTTGGGGCGGCTAGTATCCTACCCCGCCGTGAAATTCGTAACCAGCTCTGCCCCACGTCCTGCGACAGATCATATATATCCTTCTCATGCTTTGCTACACACGGGGCCGATAAAATCTGCTATGCCCCATCTCCAACCATCCTTCCATTAAATAAAACTTCAAAGGCTTCGAATTTCCAAAAGGCAAAATACAAATCTATAGTCATAACTTTATACTTTGTGACAAATATAGCCACTTTTTGAAAAATACACAGATATAACCATATTTTCGAAACTTGTTTGACAAATCTAGCCACTTTTGTTAAATAGTTTAACGCCGTTAGTAACACTGTCAATTAAAGCTGATGTGGACGCCACATGGACAACATGTCGTGCCACCTATATACCACGTCATATTAAAAAACTGTGAAAATATATTTGGAAAATAAAATATTTTTAATTTATTGTCTACCTGTACGCAACCTAAAGGCCTAATCAAAGAGGGGTGAAATCCCAAAAAAAAAAGAAAAAAACAATTATCCCCCTTGAATTCTCTGCGGAGACTTGGGTTCCTTCCTCCGCACCCCCTTCAACTTCTTCTCCCCGAAATATTCCATCCTCCACTGCATTCCGATTTCCACCATCATCCTCCTACGTCGATGCCTTCCATTGATTCGTCGATGGCGATGGCGATGGCAAGGAGGCTCTATCATCCTCCCTGGAAATAGATCTTCCTCTTAATCTCGTTTTCGATGCAGTCGTCCTCGATCGTCTGTGGTTTGGTCATGAGATGGAAGAAAAATTAGATCTGGAAAAGGAAAGCCACTACTGGGTAGCCTACGCTGCGGAGGTAGATAGACTATTCCAATCAGCAATTCTTCCTCTCTTCCCTGATTGAAAGCTCTGTACCAGCTTCAGGTGGTAGCCTACGCTCCAGATCTGCAACTACTGAAGAAAAATTGGAGAGATTGCCTCGAGTCCAACAATACATGGGGGATAGGGACGAACCCAGAAGCTACAACAGAGGAGAGGGTAAGACTGTGCGGACGACGACAGTGACAAGCACTGACGAGGAAAGAGGAGGAAAAATAGACGCAGTTGCGATTCGTGGTTCCTTAGGGTTCGATTTTTGGGCTTCTCGTAGCCGATTTCAGATGAAAAATCCTCCGGGCTATGTGTTAGCTCCGAATTCTGACTTAAGGGGTGGTAATCGGTCGGTATCCGGTATACCGGATACCAATTACCCTGTATACGGTATACCGGAAATTGGTAATATGGTCGCCGAATACCGATACCAGAATTTAACCGGTATACCGGATGATAGGTATCCGGTATAATATCGGTATCCCGAAACCCGACAGCAAAAGAGGCGGAGCCGTCGTCGTGGGTCAAAATGGGGAAGAAGAATAATTGATGCCGGCCGAAATTGCATCCACACCACCGCTGAAATTGGGGAATATCTTCCTCTGTTAGAAAGAGATGCTTCTGATTGCTTTTCTCTGCTTGTAGGCGTCTTAAGCTTTCTTCCCTTTTCCTATAGAGCGAGAAAACATGATTAACTTCATCCAACTGCAGTTGAAAGCTGAATAAACATGATGAACTTAACGAACAACAACTCCTCCCATTCTTAATCCTTCCTTCTTCTACTTCTTCAATTCCTCAATCGTCGTCGGAATCAAACTACTCTCCGTCGGTTTCAAGCAGCAGCGCCCGGCGACGTGCATCTCTCCGGCGGGGACTGCTGGTGGCAGGTGGTTGGTGAAGAGAAGAGGAAGACGGAGAATGGATTTTGGGCCTTTCGGGAGAGAATCAGAGAAGTTCGGCTTACGGCGTGCAGGGGGGAGGCGTGGTGTGATTGTGAATTAGGGAGGTGAGGTAGGTAGATCGATTGAAATTAGGGATTAGGGCTGGCGGCTGGGTTGGGTTGCTCGACAGCAGAACCCCCAAATCCAATTCCCAATTCCGCCAAACCCATTCCCCTGCGCGCTGCATTTTGCTTTTTTTTTATACTCGGTATTACGGTATACCGGTATACCGTAGGTATTTACCGGCTATTATCCGGTATTACCGAATGGAAAATTACACGCCCGAATACCGATACCGCCTGTATTCGGTATTATCCGGTAATACCGATTACCACCCCTACTTATGGAGTAGTTGCCGGTGCGACGGGGAAAACAACGGAGGTTGCTTTCTCGTTGCAGGGTCTCATCGATTGGTTTTGCAGGGTTCTCGTCGATTGGATTTGTTGGGTTCTCCAATCGTCGGCGATTGAGAGTCGTCGGCGATTTTGAGTTGAGGTGGAATGGAGATGGGGTTTCTGGCCAAAGAGGATAAGCGAAGAATGGGAAGGGACGGATGGTGAAGAGGAAAAAGAACAAACAATTTGGTAAAGTAGCTTTTTTTAATAAATATAATTAACTTTAAATTCCATCATGGCATGCCATGTAGATAAAAGCAGCCGCGGTCTCAGATGACCGTTTGTCCAGTCAGCCGTCATTATAGTTCGGTTAAATTAATAAACGGAATGACTATTTTTGTGTATTTTCCAAAACTTGACTATATTTGTCACAAAGTATAAAATTATTGCTATACTTGACTATATTTGTCACAAAGTATAAAATTATTGCTATGGAAGTGTATTTTGCCTTTCCAAAAAATTCTAAAAATTTCCACTTATTAGTCTCCTCGCGGAATTGTCTTATTAAAAGGTTGCCACCTAGTATTATATACTGGAAAGAAGGATGTAACCATGCTACTACTCTCGATGTGGTACATTATCCACCAGGTTTGCAGAGGGAGCAGGGCAGGCGGGGTAAGACGAAGCATCAACAAGGATCCATACCCGCCTTGTTCTATCAGCGGACCGGGTCATGATTTACACCCGTTCTAATATGGGTCGAATTTTATCCCACCCCATTACGAATCAGAGCAGAGAATATCTGTCAAAGCACATCTGGATTGTCATCCCTATCGACGAAAACCAGCTCGATCTTTCTTGCTAGAACTAAATACGTTAAGATGGATTGACAATTTGTCCATGAAACAGTGTCTTTTAACATGTTCCGACACCTATTCAGCTTCTTAACACGTTTAAAAAACCACTTGTTCACAAGAAACTCGTTCATCATAACTTGAAATACCAAGCATCTAATTAAGCAAACCGCCTTCGTCGCTTAACTTGAACTTCCTCTTTATTGAAGTTTCGAGATTTTACTCTCGAGCGCCATTGATAGATCACAAAGGTTAACTTTATAGGTCAACCAAATACATCAAGCTATATGAAACATTATTAAATGCCATATAAACTAAACCATCTTCTTCTCCAAACATGATATCTCTAGCATTACGAATGTGGGTCGAGAGCTCCATCGTTGTTGCTTCCACACGTTCGAATTCACGCGTAGTTTCGTCGTAAACCACCCACCCGCGATTTCGAGATGTGCGATGCTGTTCTCGGGCTGGCAATTGCCATGCCCTGTTTTCAACATGCCCACAAGCAGGGCATCGCATGGCCCTCTGAGAATTGAATACAGAGCCAATACAATCTAATGTACACACAAGATAAAACAAAAAGGAAGAATCAAATTTGGGAGATGAGAGAGCTCACACACACATCAACCTATGTAATGATTAACTTGGGTTGAATCGAAGTCACTTACCAAGATGAAAAACATGAGAGCAACAGAGGGTGACTCTTGAACGGCCATGGATGAAAAGCATCTCCCAACAAATTGTGCAAGTCATGAGGACATTGGCCAAGTTACCACTACGGTTTGGAGGAGGAACATCCATGATAATGCTTTGATTTCAGAGCAAGGCGGGGGAAATGCTTTGATGCAAGTTGAAGAGGTGGAGAATTTGGTATAAATAAGAAGAAGAGGAAATGATGTAGATGTGCTTTATGGTGCCTGGAATCCTCAAATTTGAAACCGTCTATTATTTTTAAGGCAATTTCATAAAACACCAGCAAATGAAAAAAAGTATTTAAAGTTCGCCCACATGATTTATGTATCTAAGATAATTAATTGGAGATGTTAATTTTGACTTGACCTCTGCATGCTGACGACCGTTTCATGCATGTATTGTTGGGGCAGTAAGCAATATGAGCTGGAGCGTGAATATGTCTTCTGCTTATTCTATGTCAATCCTCTTTAATGCTTATTAGTATTTTTCCTATTTCATTTCTCTTACGTTATATTCCTAATTTTAGTGTAGATACGATTACGTGCAGGCCGCTATCGCACAAATAGTTTGATTTTAGTAATCTTGTTGTCCTCTTTCTTTTTTAAGGTTAAATCAAATATTATCAAGCCCAAGAAAGATCATGTTGGTCTCCTTTCTCAAACTTACAATAATCAAAGTGTTTTTGCCTATTAAGTAAAAAATAGAAGCTAACTATTAGCAACAATAGGTATACTAAGAACAAAACTATCTTGTACATCTATCACCATCTCAAATCTAACCTACACAAACTCGACCACCAACCCAGATAAAATACAATTAGGCTTCATATCACATTATTGATTCGTCTTGCAACCTCCAAAGGAGACATAGCTTCCTTCATTCCATACATCCTGGAGGCTGCAGCATCTTTCAAGTCAAATCATGTTAATAGCCAAAGTCCACACCAATCTGCCCGCTAGAGATTGATACTCGTTCAACACCACCTCAATGGCTCAATGTGCTATTGCCCAAGTCAACCTTGCATCCCAATCTGCATGCTAGGGGGACAACACTACTTCAAAAAACTTAACCAAACACATGTCATATATGAACAAGCTAATAATTCAATAATGCAGCTAAGTGCCTACTTTATCTTTTCGAAATACCATTTTTCTTAGATTTTGAAAGTTATAGATCACGAATGCGACCTGAAGTTATTGTTCACCGATGATCTACTCTATTAATCATCAATTTGGCGGATTTTTCAAGAGAGTATTTTCATAATTTTGGGATGATATTTTCGAAAAGACATTTTCCATAGATTTTGAATGCTACAGATCACGGATTCGGCTTGAAGATATTATTCATCGAAGATTAAGTCTATTAAGAATCGATTTGAGAGGATTTTTCTGGGGCATTTTTGGTAGATTCCAAAGGGGTACCGTCACAGATTTCGGGCGATTTTTTTCCAAATGTCATTTTCCTAGGATTTTGAAGGCTACAGATAACATATTTGGGCTGAGGCTATTCTGCACCGATGATATAGTTTATTAATTGTCGATTCCGACAGTTTTTTTCCAGAGACCATTTTCGTAATTTTTTGGGCGACTTTTTCAAAATGTCATTTTCCTTAAATTTTGAAGGCTACAAATCATGGATTTGGTCTGAGGCTATTCTTCATTGATGATTAAGTCTCTTAAACATCGATTTGAGCAGATTTGAGCGAATTTTTTGGGAGATTCCAAAGGGGTACCATCACAAATTTCAGTCGATTGTTTTGAAATGCCATTTTTCTTGGATTTTGAAGGCTACAGATAACAAATTCAGTCTAAGGCTATTCTCCATCAATTATGAAGTCCATTAATCGCGAATTTACGAGGATTTTTTCTGAAGCCATTTTGGCAGATTCCAAAGGGGGTACCATCACAAATTTCAGACAATTTTTTTTAAATACCATTTTCTTTGAATTTTGAAGGCTACAAATCACAGATTTGGCTTGAGGCTATTCTCCATCAATTATGAAGTCTATTAATTGCCGATTTGTGCGGATTTTTTCCGATACCATGTTTGGCAGATTTCAAAGATGAATCACATGTTTCATGCGATTTTTTTTTCCAAAAGACCATTTTCTTTAGATTTTGAAGGCTACAGATTCGACATGTGGCTATTGTCTACCAATAATTAAGTCTATTAAGGAGAGATTTGGACTTATTTTTTCCAGGTCTATTTTTGGCAGATTCCAAAAGGGTACCATCACAGATTTCAGACAATTTTTTCAAAATGTCATTTTCCTTCCATTTTGAAGGCTACGGATCATGGATTCGGCTTAAAGCTATTCTCCATCTATTATGAAGTCTATTAATCACTGATTTGTGCGGATATTTTTCAGGGTACCATCACAGATGTTGGGCTATATTTTCGAAAGATCACTTTCTTTGAAATTTGAAGGCTACAAATCACGTATTCGGCCTAAAACTATTCTCCACTAATGATTAATTCTATTATGCACCAATTTGGATGGATTTTTTCCGTGTCCATTTTTAGCAGATTCCGAAAGGTTACCATCATAGTTTTCGATCGATTTTTTTGAACACTTATTTTACTTCGGCTTTGAAGGCTATGGATAATGGATTCGACCTGAGGCTATTCTGCACCTATGATGAAGTCTATTAATCGCCGATTTGTGCGGATTTTTAAGGGCATTTCCGTAAATTTTTTGCAATTTTTTTCAAATACCGTTTTGTTTGGATATAGAACGCTACAGATCATGGATTCAGCCTAAGGTTATTCTTTACTGATGATTAAGTCTACTAAGCACCGATTTTGGAAGATTTTTTCAAGGCCAGTTTTGGCTGATTCCAAAGGTGAATCATCAAAAATTTCATGCGATTTTTGGGAAAGACAATTTTTCTTAGATTTTGATGGCTACAGATCACTGATTCTATTTGAGGATATTATCCAGCAATGATGAAGTCTACTACTTGCCAATTTGGGCGGATTTTTTTCAGAGCACTTTTTCGTAATTTTTCGGGTGATTTTTTCAAAATGTCATTTTACTTGGATTGGCCTGAGACTATTCTTGCCTCGTTCCAAAAACAAGGGCAAGAAAAAGATGGTCGGGTACCGAGTCCCTTTGCCATTGGACGATAGAAGCGACAAGCTTCGCCCCAGGGTTATGGTGGATTTGCTCCTGGTGGCACCATGTTTGAAAGCATGAGATCCACCCAGCCGCGTCTAGCTAGGACGTTAACCGAAGTGTTTGTTGGGAGGCAACCCAACAATTGTTTGTTTATATTCCCTTGTGTTGTGTTTGTGATTGAGTATGAGTCGTTTGATTGAGTCTAGAGAGAGCTCTCTGTGCCCAATTGTGTCATGTTTTGGTTCTCAAATGTTTGGTTTTTGAGTTTGGGGCACAATTGTGTAAAAAATTGTGTGATTTTTGGTCGAAAGTGGGTCGTTTTTGGGTATTTGGCCACCACACGGCCTAGTAGCACTAAGGCTATGAAATTGCGCAAATTTCCAGGGACCACAAGTATGCATCTCTTAAGATTTCAAACAGTATTAGTACGCATCTTTTGAAGACTTTGAACAATTCAAAACTAGGGATGGCAATAAAACTCATGGTCGTGGGTATTCGACCGCCCCCGGCCCAGTCAATGCTGGGAATCCCCGCTTTGACCGGGTATGGGGCGGGTATGGATAAAACCCGTAAAAAGTTTGATGGGTATGGGGCGGGTATGGTTTTGACCTCCCCCGCTCCATACCCATACCCATACACGTCCCACCAAGAGAATTTCTTCACATATAAAAAATATGTGGATTAAATTGTAATCTATCAATGGTAATGAGGATAGCTCAAGGAAATAAATAGTAGAAATGCAATTGAGTGACCATTTTAATCAAAATCTAATTCATTTCCCTCAATTCTCCTTTCACTCTTTCACTTTTCCCCTTGTCTGCAAGATTATGTTAGTTAATTATTACTTAGTAGATGTATAAGAGTTAGAAGATAATAATTTGAAAAATATTACTCTATATTATGTATTAATGGATGTTTTAGGATCAGATACTTTGAACCGTATTAAGAAAATGACCATGTTTTGTTGACTTCATGATATAATAGGTTCGTTTAGAGTTATAATTAAAACTTTTCTTGTAAGTTTTAGGTATAATAATGTTGGATGTATGGGTACGGGTATTACCCATGGGTACCCGAAACCCACGGGTATGGGGATGGGTTTGCAAAACATTCCCCCACATGGATATGGGGCGGGTATGGGTTTGGGTATTTGAAGATGGGGATGGGGATGGTTTAGACAAACCCGCCCCATTGCCATCCCTATTCAAGACGCTTCGATCATATCATGATAATGAGCACTTGAACCATAGCTAACCATGTCATTTGAAACGAGTGAATGGAACGCGTCTAAGAGGAAGAACCTAATCTTGTTAGATATATGCTTCAAACAGGATGACCCAAACCAACATATTCTCGCCTTGTATATCTCAACTCTTGAGGGTGTATGATTTGAAAATGATTGTTATTTATGAAGGATTGAAGGTTCCTAATGATGCGCACATGAAACAACATCTCGGGACGAATTGTTTGAACATGAAGACCCAAAGTGATCTTCCCATCTCAGGGATATGCAATCAACAAAAAGTTTATGAACAGAATCACTGGAGATCCATCATAATTGGGAGTGGCTACTATAATTCCATGGCAGCTAGGATAGAAACTGTAATTATGTATCACAGTACAGAAATTATCAGAGTACAGTCTACAGAGGCTAAGGCTGCATTTGGAATGGTATTTTGCCAAACTTCTCTCTGCTTGGGAGTTGGAATTTGGAAACAAGCCCGTCGGAAGGGGGCGTGGCAGACTTCAAGCACAAGGCTTGAAAGGGGTTCACGACCTGAGTGAAAAGTTGGATAATTTAACTATGGGTCGAAAATGATACAGAAAGCACAATGAACAAATCCGACTGCAGAGACTGATTTAGATCTCAGTTGTAGAGATGTGCGCCATTATTTTCACATTGGATCTATTTGAAAGCACACCAATGTAGTATCATAATTCACATGCACCACTCGACTTCCTCACTCACTAAACTAACGAATGGATTGGCTCTCCCTTTTATTCTAGTTGTTTGGAGTAGTTCAATTGTTTGTAGAACTCTTACAGCTTTGATGGAGGTTGGTACCAGCCCCATGGATCGCTGGAGATGTACTTGGTCACTTGCTTCACACTCAAGTAGTTATCAAGTCCCCTGTCAAGAAGAAAACACACGCAAAACAGGAAAGGGTGCGGTGTTAGGGTGCTGACGGAAAGGGTTAGATCACGAAATCGTTCAGATTATAAGGGTCACAACATAAGGCAAAACTTAGTGCAGGAGCTATGATAGGTGAGAGACGCACCACTGCCCAAGTTCACGTCCAAAGCCACTACGTTTGAGGCCTCCCCATGGTGCTTGGCAGAAACATGGCTGTGAGCAGTTAACCCACACAATGCCTGCCCGAAAAGCCTGCACCATAAATAAAAGAGGCAAATTGTTACTCTCCTTCCCAAGTTAACCATTGCAAACTCTGCGTTTTATTGCTTTCGCTACTTTGGATCTCACCTTGCTTACACGATCACACCTCTCCTCATCATTGGAGATCACTGCAGCACCCAGGCCGTAGCTGTGGATAGATCCGCAATGAGGTCAGATGGCAGAATAATAATATATAAGTGTGGAACAAGGACCATTTGACAGTGGTATCACCAAATAAGTACAAGTATTGACTCACTGGGTATCATTTGCCAAGTCAATGGCCTCCTCTTCACTGCTAAATGTTTTAACACAGAGAACAGGACCAAAAACTTCCTCTCTCCAAATTTGCATAGAGGTGGTCACATCAGTAATAATAGTTGGTTCAATGAAGAATCCCTTATTCAAATGCTGCAGTTCATTTACATGACGAGAAAATATTACAGTTCTTAAACAGACAAGGATGTGAGTGAGTCAGCAAGAAAAATAATTAACTGTTCAGTACCTTTGGACGAGCGCCACCGGTCAAAATAGTGGCACCTTCACTCTTAGCGGTTGAGATGAATTTCAAAATTTTCTCATACTGAATGACAAAAGCAGGTTATCAATAGAAAATTTCGATAGACAATGAGTTGGAAGTTCTATAGAGGACGTACCAAATCTATCTGAAAACACTAATTATAGTCAAATAGTAAGTCCAGGATTCATTACCCAGATAAAACCAAGACCACTCATGAAGAAAAAAGAAACTGAAATTACTTGAGCAGAACCCTTACCTGCCCTCCACTAACAACTGGACCAAGCCTACAACCTTCTTCCATCGGATCTGATATTTTGATGTTTTTAACCCATTTGACAAGCCTATCAAGAAATGCAGCCGCTATGCTTTCCTACAGATTAAAGCAAAGATAAAGTTCCACACTTTCTATTAGTCCAACATATATAGTGCCAACAAAGACTTAAGATACACAAAACTACACACAATACTTAGAAGCTCATGCCTTCCACATCTAACAATACAATATAGGGGAAAGATAACCTTAAGTCTCTTTCACTTCCCACAACCACATCAGTCTTGGTCCCCATAATCTTTTATTTCGAAAGTACCGATTACAGTAAGCAGCCAGAATTTATCACATTAAGAAGGAATAAAGTCATAGACTCATAGTAGGCAGTTCTATTTTGAGTTGAGGTTTGTGAATATTAAGCCAAGCAAGAACGGGGAGTGAGTGATTATGCTCTGCTTCTGCATTTACATTGGTAGTTCCCCTCATTGGAATTTTGGGTTTCCAAACCGTGCAGGTAGTTCATCACATGTCAAAGGGATGTTGGTCAACTTTTGATTGACATTTGGATAGACAAAGATACGGAGTAAAACATGTGTTCTATCTCACATAAGGATTAAGTAGTAAAATCAATGTTGCCCACTTCTTTAAATAAAGATGGCACAAACACTTAGAAGAAAAGAAAACAACTATTTAATTGGCTTGATTGTGTTCTGGCCTCCTGTGCTTTCCGCGAACGATAGCAAATCTTAGTAGCATGGAGCAATCTAAATGGGGAATAAAGCTAGGGAAGTTTTTCATTTCCACACTTACATGTACAATAAGACGAGATGTAGCACTGCAGATCTGCCCATTTGTCCAGAAGCATCCAAAGGCAGTCCATTCAGCAGCTGTTCGAATGCAGACACAGGTAATTAGTATAATTTTTGTGTACACAGATATCAGCCTCCTACATAGACGAGTCCTTCACAAAAGATTTTTTGGCCAGAAATGAAAGAATGTTCAACAATCATGTCTCATCCAAAATCATTCTAAATGTCTCAGAAATAACTGACCTTTATCAAGATCTACATCCTCAAACACAACAATTGGACTCTTCCCACCAAGTTCCATGGAGACAGGCTGTCACGAAACAATAATGATGGTAAAAAACGGTAAAGCTTAGGGATGAAGAAACAAAGGATAACAAAAATATACCTTGACTAGTTTTGCTGCACCAGTCATTATACGGCTACCAGTGGCTGTGCTCCCAGTGAATGCAACCTGTTAAGCATTACAGTGAACGAAAGCAATGATAAACACATAGCCAGAGATGAAATCTTCTATTCCAGGAGCTAATTTAAAGAATGAACAATAACATAGCAGATGAACGAACCTTGTCAACATTGGGATGAGCAGCCAAAGGAGCACCTGCATCAGGGCCCAATCCAGTTAAGATGTTGAGTACACCACTGGGCAGACCAACCTCTTGACAAATTGCAGCAAGCTCCAAGCAGGTCCTGGAATTATAAACAGTTTTAAGTTTTAACAGGTTCACTGCACAACAATCAAAGACCAAAGAGATACAATTTTCAAATAAATCATGGTTATATACAAAGATGACAGCTCTGATGGCTTTAGTATAGCAGTGCATCCAGCAGCCAAAGCAGGAGCCACTTTCCACGTGGCCATCAACATAGGATAATTCCTGCAGCAAAAGGTAAACTCAAATTATCAGCCAACTCGTACTTGAGAAAAATAATCAGCCAACTAAGAAAGAAGAATATCGTGCATTATCTAACAAAAGAATTTATGAATATCCAGATGTTTATCAGCATTCAAAGTCCAGCTACAATGCAATCACCATGACTTCAACATTAGTGTTTAATTTCAAATATCAAACAAGACATAACATTTGCCTGATCTTCCCATCCGGTGATGGTGATCACCGTCATCAGGATATTCAAACAAAAAGGAAAAGCAACACTCATGAACAAGGATATAACATTCAAGTCAAAATTTTAATATTCTGGAAAAGTCAATTCTAAAATGGTCGGTAGATAAGCAATGACAAACCACCCTAAAGAAAAAGCAACTGAGCAAAAATACAACGAATTACCAGGGAGTGATCAATGCAACAACCCCAATAGGCTCCCTGAGAACGTGGCTCTTGAATGTATCCATGGGAAGGGCAACAGGAGTCCCCTGCTTCGAGTCCAGGCCTTCTGCAAGGTCAGCATAGTACTCGAAGCACCCCGCAACGTCGTCCTAAGAAGCATGAGAAAATAAGACCATAGTTACAGACCCCGTACTGGCAAGAATATAGTAGGTATCAGAGAAAATAGCGAATGCATACCATGTCCCAGGCTGCTTCATCATAAGGCTTCCCATTATCAATTGATTCAAGTTTCGCTAGCACTTCTTTCTTCTCTACAACCTGCACCCGAGCATAGATATGCGATAAGAAGTCGGTTCCTTTTCAGGAAAGAAGGATCACAAAATCATCGAAAGCTTTCTATAATAGACAGAAGAGGCAGATCATATAAAATATAGATCACCCAGATATTAGTGCAAAATAAACTTCGACGCAAGAGTCTCCGGAATAAGATTTTTCAGCCCTTAAACCCCTACCTTCCAACTATATGTATAACATAACAGCAGAGTCTCAACCACGACAAAGGGTTCCTTTCTGATTCACAACAACTATATCATGACCAAAAAATTGGAGACGCAGGACAAACTTAAAGAGAAGGAAAATCCCCACATAAATAAATGCTGGAAAAAGAAAAGAGAATCAGAAACACAGAAACGGCAAAATCAAAAGGGTATATTCACCTTAGCAGCAATAGCGCGCAGGTACTTTGCACGGAAAGCACCAGAGGCAAAAGCCCAATCTTTGCCTCTGTTTCTATTGAAAGCACTGTGAGCTGCTTCGACTGCAACCTCAACATCTTCGGCAGTAGCGGCTGGGATATCCCCTGGAATTCGATTCCCACACACAGAACCAAACAACTCATTCAGTTCCCTTCCAACAAACAACTCAAACAATTGGATCGCCGAAAACGATTTGTAAGAACTAAGCTAGAACCCTCAAGATCCTTGAACCAGAAGTTTAGGAAAAAAAGGGAGAACAAACCGACGATCTCTTCGGTGGCAGGGTTGATGACGGGAATGCGTTTATTCAGCACGGGATGCTTCCACTCGCCGCCGATGAACAGCTGCCGTGTAGGGATTGGAACGGCGGCCATCGTTGCTTCTACTGGGTCGGTGAGATCTGTTGCTGACCTGATGGTGATTGGTGAGCGGATTTTCAGTGTGGATCGATTAAAGAAGTGTACTTGGAGTTGGGGGGATTTTATAATGAGCAGAAAGAGGGGAAAGGATTAGAATTTAGAGCCGGGGTCCCGCGTTCAAGAAGCAAGATGATGTGACTGACTCAATGACTCATCAGTTTTTCACGGGAGAGTGGGGATGTATATTGTATCCCAAATTAAACTTCTTTAAAAAAATGTACACTTTATGAGATGTTTCCATGTTACACGTGTTTTTATCGGAGTGCTTGAGATTTCAGTGATTTGGGCTTAGGATAGGTGAATACTAATTTGTTGTGGTATATGATTGACGATTGAACCTCTCCCAACAACTCGAGTTATTAGGATCAACTGGTTTATGACATGGTATTAGAGTTTTTTGTGACCGAGAGGTCTTGTGTTCGATTCCCGGTGACCCCCATTTGTTAAGCACATGGTATTCTTGTCTTCAGACCTGTGCAAACTTTAAGCTCTTGTGAATGACTTTCGTTTGAGGAGGCGTGTTAGTGTTGTGGTATATGATCCACGATTGAACTTATTTGAGATGAGGCAATTGACATGAGATGGGGACAGGTTACGGTGATTACTACAAATGTAGTAATCACCGTGGTTACTAAGGGTAAATTGGGTATGAAAAATAAATTATATTAATTAATTTTTTTAATAAATTACATTTTAGGTAATTACAAGATTCTATTAATTACAATTCTCTCTCTTTCTCTCACTTCCATAATCTTCAGCCAAATCCCTTTTCCTTATTTTTCTCAATCTTTCTGCAAAAGAAGAAAAAACACGAAATCACTACCAATCCATTAGACAATCACTACCACTCTGAAAAATATCAATACCATTGCAGAAATTAATCTATACCATTACACGAAAACTACCAATATAAACAATCTACCAATATAAATCTATACCATTTCGAGAAGGGCAATTTTTTTTATAAGTAACCTACTGGGACCGCGTGGTTGGAAGTGATGTTAGACAAATATTCCCTCTCTTTTCTTATTCTTCTAATCACTCTACTCCTACCCCAATCCCTCGCCCAGCCCGCCGCCCCTGCCCCCTTTCCACCGCCGGCAAATCCTCCCCTTCCACCACCGTCGCCGCCCCAGAAAGCGGCTTGCAATGGCGTCTTCGTCTCCTACGTCGCCAACGGCGGCGGCAGCGCAATCGCTCCCACCAACCCTTCCAATCAAGCCTACAGATTCTCCGGCGCCGTCACGGTCACCAACAACGACGTCAAAGAGCTGAAAGCGTGGCACGTCTTTGTCGGCTTCCAATTCGACGAGGTTCTGGTGTCCGCGGACAAGGCCGTCCTAGACGACGGCACCCCGCTCCCTGCTGCTGTCGGGAAAAACGGCACCGTCTTGGCAGGCTTCCCTCAGTCCGACCTCAAGACCGCAATTCAGACCGCTGGAGATTCCACTCAGACGGAGGTTCAGGTCCAGCTGACCCTGGTCCAACAGATTCTTCATTACACGCGTCAATGAGCTCAAATGTCGCCATGCTAACCAAGTTCTCAAAGCTTCTGACATAGAAAACTCGGTGGCCGGGGGTTGGAGATTACGTTCGCACTCAACTCAAGAGGAGACTGCGAGGCGTCTCCGGCCCGGCTTCCAGCGAATGATCGGCTTTCGCTATGGCTGTCTGATAAATGGAGGAAGGTTTTATTCGCGGCCGCAAAACTCTACCGCGGATCGGAGCCGAGAGAGATGGGAAGATAACAAGTAACAACGAACAAGGCGAGCGACAGCTTGCGATCGAACTTCATGTCAGGGTTGATGCCCACCCAGTACGCCGTGAAGGCCGTCCTCCTAGGAGCCGACGTTTTTTCCAGCGTGAGCCTGCACGATAACTGTCGGTAACGCTGTCCGACGGCGTTGTTCTTATGCCAAGGCGGCGACCAGAAATCGTTGATGGATCCCTTGCCGGTGAGCGGCCGGCCTCAACTCTGGAATGTCTCCGATGAGACGTTATCAATGACTAGTGAGTCATTAAAGCGGCCTTTTAATGGCGCTAATTGGTCTTAAATTGACCGTTTCAAAACCCAATTTTGGGGTGAGAATTATTAGGAATCATTTAAATAGAAATTAATATTTTATTGATCATCCCCTCTGATTACTGCAGGATTCATGATGATAGAGGAAAGAGAGCCTCTTTAGTCTTTACCATCTAGGCAGCATGAATTGGCAGATTTTTTGCAGGAAAGACATTGATGGTGGTGGGACTACTTGCCTTTAATTGTATGTCCATGTTAGCACAATAAAACCCATAATTGGCTAATGGCTCATTTAAGTTCTTAGTTAGCTACATTGTCATTAATTCCAAATAGAAAATCATTGGCTCATATTATTGATACTCCCATTTGGAATAGACATGGGTCATCGAGACTCCTCAAAAACTCAGATTCTTCATCTGGCAGTGTCTCAAACTGGGCAGTCGTTGCCCAGTTTGCTGGAGAAGCCCGGAAAGTCTTGAACATCTGTTCTTCAAATGTCCCTTGGCAACAAGATTGTGGTCGCTCATGGGTCTAAATGATTTCATTTCCTCGGCCCCGACTGTGAACTTCAGTCTCTGGTGGCGACATGTTATGCTTTCTGAGCACCCCCAAACCCATATTCTCCTATACGTTTGTGTATTATGGAGGATCCGGAAGTCTAGAAATAAGGTGATCTTTGAGCATATCCAGCCTCATGCCCAGTCTCTCGCTCGTCAGTGTTTTTTCCAAGTTCGTGATCTGTCTTCCTCCCTGCCTTTGGTCCCTGCTCCTCCGCCCCAGCCTTCCTGCTCTCGCCGTTCGTCTTGGTCCCCTCCTCCTGATGGTTTTCTGAAGTTCAACTTTGGTGCTGCTGTTCGTCCTTCTGGGTGCTCGTCTGGTCTAGTGGTGTGAAGTTCAGACGGGCATGTGGCTCTGGCAATAGGATTTCTTCACCCCGGTATTGGTGATCCCTACCTTGCGGAACTCCTAGCTGCTAGAGACGCCATATTCCTTCTGGTGTCCAAATCTCTGCCTCGGGTCATCATAGAAGGAGATTCAGAGGTGGTGATTCGTCAGCTTCGTCAAGGTGCTCTCTCAGACTCCATTGGAGGTTCGGTGCTTCGGGATTGCTTCCTTCTCCTGTCTTCTGTCTCTGTTTCTTTAGAGTTTAGGGCAGTTCCTCGGACTGCTAACAGGGCTGCCCATAGAGTGGCGCAGAAAGCCCTGTTACTCTCCGCTTTAGAGTTGTGCGCCTTTGACTTTGTTGGTTGGCTTCACTAATGTAATGGGTTGGGCAGGGTTTTGGTAGATTGTATAGGTTCTCTCTTGACATTACTTGGAAAAAAAAAATCTATACCATTTCACAAAAAATCAATACCATTGCAGATTGAATCAATACCAATACATGCAAATTAATATCATTGCATAATAATCAATACCAATGCGACAAAAACAATACCAATGCAAAAAAACACTACCACTACGAAAAAATCACTACCAATGCAAAAAAATCAGATCTTGGGTTTTTATTCATCCCACCTTTTCCAGCCGCAACCTGAGCGTGTCGCAGGAGTGGATGGAGTACGACTCCTGAAAAGCGTCGAGAGTTAGAACCTGAGCCTCCTCGTCGCCTTTTAGGTCACCGTGGTCGGAGAAGAGGATCTTGGCGATGAATTTGGGGTCGTCGGAAAGGAGGCGGCGCCACGACTTGCTGACGCAGCGGAATCGGGCGATGGAGTCAGGGGTCGGCAGCCTGGACAAGATTCCTAGCTGTAGTTCCTCCGGTAGCCACTGGTTGACGGGGCGGCGCCGGACTTGGCTTGTTTGTCCGGCGGAAGACTTCGTCTTAATTAGAGATAATCTCAGGGAGGTTGTGGGGTGGGAGAAGAGAGAGACGGCGGCTAGGTAGATAGGTTGTATTAGGATTTGAGTATAATATATAGAGTAATCAGGTGTGGTATGTTTTTCATTTCCTAAATTACCCTTAGCTAATCTTAATCGTTAATTTAAAAATATAATAAAATATAGATAATGAATGGTACAGATGTTGGTAGCCACCGTGATTACTCAAAATTGAGTAACCACCCTAACCTATTCCACATGAGATATTATTGAACATACACTTTTGCCCTTGTTATCTTACTCTCCTTCTCCATCTTTCTCTTTGTGCTAGGCATAGAATGCTGTCCAAATTACACATAGACTACCCTTTGAGAAACAGAGCAATGGAAAACAACCCCAAACCCAGGTAGAATACTCCCTCACCAAGCAATCAGATTTCCCCCCGAATCAAAGCTTAACTGAACCGAAGTTTGACTGAATCGAAGCAACAGAAAACAAACCCAACCCATTTACAACATAGCATCCAAAATCTGAAACGAATTAGCTTGACTGAATTGAAAACCCTACAGGAAATAGGAAGAATCCATAATCACCGCCGCTTAGGAGGAACAATGGCTGTTTGATATGAAAAATCTTGCTCGCATGGAGCAGATCGACCCACCACTTACTTACATGCAGAACTCTCATTGATTTCCAAATATCCCAACTCACAAACCCAATCGGACAACGAACCCAGGTCAACTCTTCCATCATCGTCGTCAGACTTCACTCTTCCTCTTTGTCGTCAGATTTCACCCTCAATTAGATGGGATCTTTGTTTTCCCAAAGCTTATATAGAAACGGAAAAAACTGAGAAAAGAAGAGAAAGAAAGTAGGCCAATTTCACTGGCGACGATGTTTGGCAATGATTTTCCCCTTCTCCACCCATTCCAACTATCAGTCACCAGGATTGCTTTGCAGCACCATCGTCGCCATCCTCTGCATCTGCAACACTGTTGCCACCAATAGAGCTCAGATCGAGCAAGTCATGGTGGCTCAAGAATCGAGCGATTCATCATTCACCTCTGCATCTTGTTATCGCCGTTGAAAAAAAAGGAAGAAAGAAGACCAGAGAAAGAGAGGAAAGAGGAGAAGAGGAAAGGTTGTCTCGGGGAAGAGAGAGGAAGAAAATAACGAAGGTCACAATCGGAAAGGGGGCCCAAAAAATGCGTCAAAGTAGATTGTATGCCCGCCACCCAGGTATTTCACATTCACCCATAACGAAGCAATTACAATTAACTCGGTCCAAAATGTTTTGTTTTATTTTTGTCCCGCCAAATGAGCCAATTGGGGCAGATTGACTCATCAGAATGTGTCATCCAAACGACCCCTATATATAGTTTTTTTTGAATTTTAGTGCGATGAATAGCGATTCAGGAATTTTAAGTCGGTCAGATCTAAGCAGTTTAAGATTGGGTTGTACAACTAGGGTAAATGACTTTTTTTTTTATTTTTCTTAATCGTTTTTTATTTTTTCGTTATGACTTGGATTTCAATTTGTTTGCAAAGATGGAACGGGTTTGTTGTGATCTACAAAATAAGATCCATTTTCAATATATTTTGAAGGAAAAATTTTCATAACACTCATTACCACATGGTTCCACATTTGTCTTAACTCGAATTTAAAAAAAATTACCCTGAAATATATTGGAAATAAAAATATATTGAAAATAGATCTTATATTGAAGAAAAATGAATGTGGTATCAGGTGGTAATGAGTAGTATGAAATTTTATTCTCTCATATACCGATGGAATAACATATATTGATTCCACATTCATAACCTTTATCCCCACCATATATCACACAACTATGGCAAGCACTAAGATTACCGTTAAAGCAACTACATTATCTCAACATCCAATCACACACATACATATATTTAGCTAGATTCATTAACTTTTATTCTTTAATTTGTCAAGTCATGCACTCCCCCGAGTATTTTCCGTAGATGTATAAAGTATCGCCAATAAATGCATTAAGCATCCCAATAGATGCATAACGCATCGCCCAATAGAGGCCTCGAGCATCGCCAATAGATGCACAAAGCATTGCAAATAACCAAGCCTGGTAACGCCCTCTTAGAGAGCTAGACATATAGCCACCATGTACAATTATATAGAGTGCATGATAGGATGCCCTTAGGTTTGATTTAGGTGTCCATGCAATCCTTTCTTTTGTTAGCAACATAACATGTACCAATACTATATAAACCTCTAGGACCCAATCACAACCAATCATATTTTCACAACATCGCTTTTACAGCTATCTAGTACTATATCATCGCCTTTACCTGCTATCCAATAGACCAATACCATATAATCGCCTTTATAGGCTATCTGATACCATATCCAATACACATACCATTTAGCTTGATTAGGACCTCTTAACTCATTCACAATTATCAATCAATATCACGTATCATTCCAATTCCATGCACATCATCACATATTCATTCATCACATTCCATAGTCTCATCCCATCATATCATTCATACACAAATCATAGCACATATATTCAGTAGCTACATATTCACTATCCACATCATGGTTTCGGGCTGTTTCATTACCAGAACACTATATTCATATTAACAGAGTTACTATGTTAGAATTTACTTATGACATTTGATGTT